GTATGTGATACAAATCGAAAAGGTTCTCACAGTAGCAATACAAAAAGTTATATCAACCTGGAAAACTATACCAATAACCACTTTCTATCGTGAAACAGGTCTCCCCTTAGCTATAACAGCCCTCAAGAAAGCCAAACTAAGGTTTGCTTTACATCTCCAAAATATAAATATAACCCACCCGTTTACAAAAAAAATCAAATCTCCTATAATCATCAAAAAGCGAGATACGGGCTCAAGACAAAGAGCGAAGACCAAAGTCTAACGACTTGGTCTCCTTATCCCCCCAATCCTAAGGTCTATACTCAAACTATCACGGTATACAACCAACTGCTGAATAGATCTAATGAAAAGGATTGACAAGAAAATGGCTACAAAGACCTTTAACATCTGATAGGAAAACCTATTAGATACAGATATCACTATCTTTTCGAATAAATCGGAAAATTATGTGAAAGGAAAATATATCGTGGATTACAGGTATATAACATACCTAGACAAGAACCAGATACTGGCAGGTTTCGGCTCCATCAACACCCAATCTCATATCTTCGATATAGAAGCTATTGGAGCATAGAAAGGCCTGGAATATACCCTTAAAAATGTTAGATACACCAACCAGAAAATCTGGATATACATCGATAGTGTTTCGATCATCTGGGGCATAAAGGCTAATGCCTCCATATCATCACAATAGATATTCAACAAATGCCATAAGGCCATAAAGGACCACGATATTCATATCAAATAATCACTGGGACATAAAAGCATTGAAAGAAACAAGATAGCTAACCATCTCGCTGACCTGGACATCAAGAAACCCAATTGGAACACTGGACCAGCATCCCAATCCACCTACAGTGGGGTAAGATCGATTATACACAACCTTAGAGAAGAAGCCTGCTAACAATAATAGAAATCATACAAACCCGCCCTTTTGCTATAATACAAACAATGGGATCCAGTCTACAAGATCAAACTATTGCTAAAGCTTCTACTTCTACAAGTAGTTCTGTACAAACTGATAGCTATCCAAACTTTATATAGAGATTTTGAATAGTATTACAGGAAATTTGGACACACAGGAGACACAGAATATACCTGCGAAAAACCCAAAACCCCAGTCTACCTAGTCCATTGCCAAAAGGCAAGGGTTACCTTTGAACAATAGCCTAACAAGCCCTTTATATCACTATCAACAAATAAAAAAGAAATCGACTACCTTCAATAAATCTTAAACAACCCAATAGACTTTGCCAAACTACTAAAGTTAACAAAGTTTTACAAAGATATATGCCCAAAGTAAAGAATTACAAGTTTGTATTCTATATTCAAACAATCTAAAAACCTGTAACAAGCTATATCTACTACCAAAATCGATTTGTAACATACAATATAAACGAAGCTACAAACTCCTTTTACAGAGCATATACAGAGAAACAACCCCATCAACAGATATAAAAAACCTAATTGAATACCAACAAGACATACAAAAACATACCTGAGAACACTCCCCGGAGCATAACAAACACCCTAATCGTTACACCAGAAATAACACACTGAATTATTAGAGCACACACAACAGCAGGCCCACAACACAAACATAACCACCTACACCAGGCAAGACAGCAGGACCACCTCAACCAGCGAAGAAGAGAATGCACAAATTGGAAGGTAACACACGATTACCGGGAATGGCCATAAAGGCTTTCACTTTTCTTTCTAAGGCACTCTCATTTCATGTATCGTAAGACCATAGCTTAGAATATTTGCATACCTCTAGGGAGGTTTTGAGGGCAGCCATAAGCTGCTCTCCTGATGTAAAATAATACTACTACTACTACTACTCCTATGATTTCACACCTACCTTCACTCTTTTACAATATATAGTATAAGGCATATATCTGATATAAGAGGTGCATCGCTGGGAGTTTCATTGCATCGCTAAGAGCTCCATTATATCGCGGAGGGTTTCATATATATCTGACATAAGGGGTGTATCATGGGAGTTCTATTACATCGCTGAGGGTTCCATCATATCGCTGCAAGTCTCACAGTAAGTACACACTACACTTCGAATAGAAGGAGTAATAATTCGAGGCTCATAGCATAAAATATGCATCCGCTTCAAGGAGTGTATCGTACTAACCATACCATGTAGACTCACCAAAGTTTATCATGATATAGTTGTACGATCCTTGTACTCGAGTACAGGCGACGAACCTACCCCCCTTTGTGAAGATACTGGTACATGAGCTGTGGCCCAGTAACCTTACAAACATTCCAAATGGTACTCGAAAGAGTAAACATCTTTTCTGTTGCTCTCTTCGCCTTCAATATTCCTTCGTGAAATGACAATGTGCGTGTGGGTGTTCTGAAAGGACAGTAGTACCAGTACTAAGATAAAAGTCCAAACTACTACTTCGGCCAAGTACCTAAGAGCCTCAACCCTATTTTGGTAGGCCACATGTTCATTGAGCTCTATTCTATGCGTTACAGAGCCGCTTCTTTTTAGTTACCTTCAACTTCCTCCTCGACTGCGACTACGCTTATTAATTCTTGAAATGCTACTGTAGGATAGTGAGTAGAAATAGCACTATACATCCAATGTAGAACACTTGAAGAACATTAAGCTTTAGGGATTTTATGATTGACTTTCTCCCAAAGTACTACATTCCAAACAGGTATACTGTAGTTTGTCACTATATATAATCCTTGCCAACTCAAGCCAAAAAAATTAAGTATCACTAGGACAGAATTCCACACGATACTCAAGCCGCCAAAAGAAATCCGCAACTCCGGAACCAAAAAAGAGCAGGATATTCCAACCACTTAGTATATACTAGCAACCCGAGTTGTAGACTTTCTAGAGGCACGAGTAGCTTCACATTGTCGAAACCCCTAACTACCTACATACCTAAGCAATCAAAAGGTCAAGAGCCTATAGTGCGATGTCTATACGTTCTGGACCGGAATCAATTAACATGGAATCAATCCGAAACCTTCTCCGTTGATTGCCGATATCCTGCCGGGCTTTTACCATGAAATGTTGCGGTATGATATGCTTGGATGAGCGGAAGGAGTATGTATGTATGTATGTATGTATTTGGTATGTATATGAGAAGCCCCCATCCTCCACGTTGACAACTAGCTCTAGCTCTAACCTAGTATCAAGTACCCAGTATGATTTCACAATGGTAATTTGAAGTAACACCTGACGCTCTTTGGCACTATACTACTAATAGCATTTAGGTGATGTGGACATCAAGCTCACGTCCACCCGGCATCGACATTCTGTTGCATATCTGTCTGCGCCCAAGACCGCTGCTCCCATGTCCACATCCATCTATGCGGCAGCACATAATCCAGCCAATAAAATTAACCTTGCCCTCAATCGCCCCAAGCCGAAATGTTGCACGTCTCAATTTCGCTCTTGTCCGCTCCCACAGTGTGATGTTTCTCCATGTCTAAAGTCCAATCCATACCCATACCCATCCATTACTTAAAGCATCGCATATCTACTGTGCAAGTTGGAAATCATCGGGTATACCCGATACAGCATGAATGAAAAGTTAAAAGTAAAAGGCACTTGCTTTCAAATTGAAAACACCCGCAGCAAGGCAGAACTATTCTAGCCAATACTCGAGTTACATGTACCAAAGTTCTCGGTGTAAACTAGAGCGAGAATTCGAAGATGTGCATTCTTGTCTACTGTAATATAATATCCCAACCAGCAGTCGCACAATTCATGAAGGGGGTCTCATAATCGAAAATCGCGTTACCCCACTCCCACTCCCACTCGTCATTCGAGTCTTCCATAACATCATGATATAAAACCCACAACATCATACGAAACATCATACGAATATGAAGAATGAGAGGGAATTTAGATCTTTTGTTGCATATCTCATTTTTCGGGATCGATGGATGATGGATGGAATTACTGTTTTTGGTAATCCTTTGATGAGGATGGTGATGGATTTTCCTCTTGTGTGACGAAGAAGATGATGATGATGATTGGCTGAGAGACGTGAATGACACCCCTGAAATGATCTCGGATACCTACTTGAATGCTGAGGTGAGTGAAATTCTTTTGGGATTTCCATCATATGTACAGTATAAGCTGCGACATTATTAATATCCATTGCAGTATAACACATTTATGCAAAGCCCTCAGTTGAGACTCATTCACTCATTCGTTCACTCATGTAACAACAACAAGAAAATCCTCTCTGTATTCCAGCCATCGTACTGAGTAGAACGAAACAACTTTCCTTCCAATCTCAAAATAACCTCGCTCCTGACTCAAGACCGCATCTAATGCCCCATACTTCTGACTCAAAATCCATCTGAACCCCAATAGAAACATCCCAATTCCGATCCACCCCAAACGAAAAACTGGGCTCATCATCTTCATTTCTGAAAAATAACTGACTCGACCGAGGATTTACGACTTGCAACAAAGCTGACGAAAATGCTGCAAAAGTCAGTGATAAGTGGATTCTGGGGACTGTTTGGGAAGGTGTTTGGCATCGTATGATATGATTTGCTATACTATAGGGCAAGCTGGACAGGGGAGAGGAGCTGAATGAAGTATAATATGTAATGTAATGTAATGGGCTGTAGGTAGGGAGATGGGTTGGGAAGGTGGGGGGTCGGGATATCCGGATGGCTGCACATGTGCAGCGGTACTGGCGGGAACGTACAGGGTACGTGTAACGGTTTGGGGGCATAATCTTGTGTGTTTCTTCTTTATGCTTCTCATGGTATACGAGCGAGTAGGTATGGACAGTATGTATTTGAAACGTTGGGACATCGACTGTTACACGAAACAAAGTAAAGGTCGAAAATGAGAGGCCTCATGGAGAGACTTGTGCGAGAAAAGAAGAATAGGTATACGCCGTCGCAAGCCAAACGCCTTATTTGCAAAACGGGAAGACAAATAACCCTATAGCTTCAACCAAATGATCAAAGAATGAAACTTTCCTCCTGACTACACTACCCTACCCTTCCTTTACAGCTTCAATGATACTTCCAGCCCAACACGTCCCCATCCTTTCGCACTCTTCCACAATCGCAGCATCATCCCACCACCACTTCTCGCCCTCAACATAGCCCCCCCACATTTCCTTCCACAGCATTCTACCCATCACACTCTTCAACTGCCACTCCACCTGTTCCTCTCCATTTACGATCCCCACACACGCCAGGAATTTCAGAGAAGATGTGCAGCTTCCCTCGGCCCAAAGTCCGGCATCTGCCAACCACAAGGGAAATAGACGGGTAGGGTTCAGACAGCGGAATTGCTTCTCGAGGTTGACGGTGAGATGGGCATCAAGCCAAACCCGCAGTCGTGGACCGAGTGACGAGGGCACTGGAGAGGGATCGAGGATGGTCAAATACAAAATTCCGGGCTGAGTGGTACTAAATGCGGTTGTGGAGGTGGGGGATGCCGGGACTTCTGCTGATGTGGGATTACGGGAAGAGATGAGAGTACGGTGACATTCTTTGAGGATAGTTGGGATAGAAGAGGAAGGTAGTAGAGATGGAAGACCCAAAGAGTGAATTGCAACAAAAATATTGGAGGCATACGATAGCTGTGAAGTAGGTCCTGGGACAGCAAGAGGATGAACATTTGGATACGATCTCGGAGATAATGGACTCGTGGATATGTGGTGTATTTGATTTTCCGGATTCAAGGCTGATAGGAACGATGCAGAAGCTATTTCGGTGAGTATACGCACAGAGACGATGGAGAGAGTACTCACCATGATTCTCATACAGTGAAAGCATTTTTCCCGATTGTGGTGCTCCACTGAGTGTCCGCGAAGCATCACGAGTTCTGGCCACGCGATTAATAGCTCGCAAGGCAGTGAGCATCCAAAGTTGCTTTTCCAGCTCGAGCTCTCGATATACTGACGCGTCGGCCACTTGCATCCATTCCTCCTTCAACCGTTCAAGAATAATCTTATTGCTTGCTGCTTCCATCTTACGAATATTCATTTGCAAATGTGTCTGCTCCGAGTTAGAAGGTGAGCGATTACGACCACGAAGTTTTCTCCTGCGTCGTGACCCCGAAGACTTCAATGAGGCGACTGATGAGGCTGTTTCTTCGGCAGGACATGCCCATGTCTCGGGAGGTCTCCATGAATCCGAGCGCCTATTCCTCGCCGTCATTGACCACTCGGTGGTTCTAGCACCGATGTCACTTCTAGAGCTTAATGTCTTGGGAGAGCTGGGTATCTTCGGGGTTTCGGGATTGTGTGTAGGTGGAAGTGGGAAGTCATATGTTGAGGAAGTTGATGACAAATTAGATCTACTACGTTAGTAACCATGCCATGTGATCGGGGTAGGATTATATCCTTACTCTCTTATGGCGGAATCTTGAATCTGGATAGGAACTGTTCCTGAAGTTATATGAACGACAGTAGCGAGCTGTTCCGATGCACTGAAATCCTCACTTGGGGCAACAGTGATCTCAGTACTTTGAGTGACAAAAGAATTTGGGCTCAGAGGCTGAATGAAACGGTTTTTGTTTTGCCCATCTGCCATGGAGCTCCATGATGACTGGGTCCCGGCTGATCTTCCAGTATAGCCAGAGAAAATGGATACTATGACAAGATCAGTTTAAGATCAATGTCAGTGGAATAGAACTTACCGTCCGAAGGACTTCTCTCGGACTCTTGGTACGTTGGAACTGTTGGAAAAAATCCATTTACTGGAATACGTGTAATGGTTGTCGTAGTCGTTTCACGTACCTCTTGTGTTGATGTCTCCGAAGTGCTGGTATAGCTTGACATCCGACGAGAAACTTTCGAAGACTGTTCGGTCCTAAATTCTGGTGACTTTGGAGAAGTCACAGCTACTGGGGCTGATATCTTCTTGTTGCTACCGAAAAATCCAAAGATAGAGTGCTTAACTGACTTAGATGAATCGCTGGAATTTGAGCTCCGTATTGATGGCGACGATCCCCTAGTGGATGTTTGGTCCTTGCGATGTTTTCTCTGGCCCACGGTCTCCCGTGTTGGATCAGTCCACGAAACGTCGAACATGATTTGGAAAATGTGTTCTGTAGTATGTTGGTTCTGCAAATGGAAGGAGGGGAAGTACCCTTGAAATTCAGTGATATGATCAAGAAGGAAAGAAACATTAGTATACGTGGAAATGATTCACAAGAACGCATTATGATATATGTCTTCCGGATAGTCCTACCACGAAGTTTGTTTCAGGAGGTGGAATATGTTATCGCTCATGCGAGGAGTTTTTCACTCGCATGGTGGAAATCGGGATGTGGAATAGTTCCCCCCCCTCCTCTCTTTGGAGCATGGTCTCACATACTTTTCTTGCAGAATATCTCATCATTGAACTGCATCATCCCGTGCGCCGAGTAAGATCAGGTCGTCAATTCGGCTAGCAGCTTTGAAAGGTGGAAGATAAAAGAGGGTTTCTGAAAGGGTTTTTTTTTGAAGAACACAACATTTGATTAAGCAAGAGAAATTATCAAAAACATGTTGTACATGGTTGGACCATTCAATGAAATGTTGGCTATAATTCGAGGAAGAATAGCAGAAAGGGGAAGTTAGAGCAGGAAGGAAGGGGAAGGAAGGAAGGAAAAGAGGCAACTTGCCTTTCACCTAAAAAAGTCTAGTTCGGGAAGAAAAGGCGCGATCATATTTAGCGAATGTGATCAGTAACAAACAAGTTTATGAATCTCTCAGATATACCAGAACTTTCTTTTTTTACTTCTCATCAGAACACATGGGTTCGTCAATCAAACTTTTGATTAATTAATTAAATCACCTCAAATGATTCTCAACGTTGAACGTTCTTCCTTTCTTCCTTTTCCATCCGAATTAATCAATAAAACCCGATATAGGTTTTCGTCCGATCCATTCCCTGTAACTCAGTACCTGTTCTGTGGTCACGGTTTTCAGGTGATTATTGTATAACATGCATCTTCCCGAATCATGTCGTCTTCATCGATTGTTAATCCCCCTGCAGTGTTCACCATTTTCTGCAAATCTCATGCGGCTGCGGTCGGGACCAGGCCCAAAAGCTGTGTCCTGCAAGCCACAAAGAGATATCACAGGTTAATCAATATGAGCGATGTTTCACAATAGAAGCCACAGGTTCACGAGATCCATGTTAAATATAGAGAAGTGGTGGTACCTGCATCCCATTATTTTCAATATTTCCAATGGGAACATCCAATCTTTATGAATCTCATGAAGCTGCTGAAAGTTATGCCAAGATGGATGACCGGAGAGGTTATCATTATACCCGGAAACGTTGATTCACAAGATCATCCGATATATCACAAAAAGGCGTTCCCCAACCATCATTAGTCAAATGTCATTATCCGTTCATCAGTATGCGAACCAAACTCAGCCTATCACTGTGTTCCCATTATCTCCCTTGCCGAATTATGTAGTCCTACGCGGTAGTCCGCAGTGATGCCCCACCTAATCCTCAGTTTCAGAGGAAGCACAGCAAGAACTACTTTATACCAGCAAATTCAACATTCACAGAGTCGTTGTTGTTTTGTTATTTTGATCATGGGGAGGGGTGGGGGGCTGGCGAAATTGATTGAGCTGCATGTTGAAGTTTACTTTCCGATCCATTATCTTTTGACTGTCAAAGATTTCCCTTTTTCTGTCCAGATGCTTCCGCTGTCATATCAAAAGTTTGTTCCGGAAAATCACTCAAGCTTTTCACCGTTACTGTATAACTTCTAGTACTTTCCCACGTTCTTCTCGTGTGCTTCAAGCTTGGCTAATATTTCTATCGTCGCCTATACATCATGCTATCTATCAAAGAATATATTGACAATCTCAACACGAGAGCCTCCAAATCAACATTTGGCAGAGTTTTTCGTCTTGATGGCTGTGGCCATGTATGTATTCAAGAAATAGTATCAAATGATATGATATACTCACCAATACCAGGAACAACAAAAGAAAAATGCTAAGTTCATCACGGAAGTCAGAGCTGGGGTGACTACTTTTTTCACAATGGCATACATCATTGCCGTTAATGTATGCAGAGTTCCTTTGAAGATTTAGAAGCAATCTCTAACATTCTTCAAGTCTACAGTATTATCACAGAGTGGTGGCACTTGTGTTTGTACCGATACAAAAGATCCATCATGTTCGACAGATTCTGACTACGCTGCTTGTGTTCTTGGTCCGTAGAGATATATCTCCAGATCCTTCGTTGATAATACTAATTGTGTCTAGATATCAATCGTGATCTAATTACTGCCACTGCTGCAGTGGCAGGCATAGGATCTCTGGCATTTGGTTTCTTCACCAATCTACCGGTCGCCTTGGCGTGGGTATCCACTACAATATTATCATCCTGCGGACGAAGGCTGATATTCTTAGACCCGGCATGGGCCTCAACGCATACTTTACTTATCAAGTTGTTGGATTCCATGGGACTGGCACTGTTCCTTATCGTTTGGCTCTCACTGCCGTATTTGTGGAAGGATTCATTTTCGTTTTCTTATCCTTGATCGGCATGCGACAATGGCTTGTAAAGGTAATACCTGCGTCGATTAAGGTCGCAAGTGGTGTCGGGATTGGTTTATTTCTTACAGAAACTGGAATGTCATATTCTGCAGGAATCGGTGCTATGACTGGTTCCGCAGTAACTCCAACTGCCTTGGGAGGATGTCCTCCTCACTACCTCGACGTTACAGGAGCTTGTACTAGTCATCAAATGACGAACCCTACGGTAAGATTCCGCTTCAGACTTGTCTTTACCATAGAGCTTTTACTGATTCTTCTCAGATGTGGATCGGAATTATTTTTGGAGGTTTCTTGACTGCATACCTGATGGCATTTCGATTCAAATCTGCCATAATTATCGGTATTGCAATTGTGTCTATCTTCTCATGGCCGTAAGTAGGCCCCAGATCTTTTACTCGCTAAGCTTACACGTATACTAGACGCGGCACAACCTTTACGTATTTTCCGTACACTCCCGATGGCGAATCACGCTTCCAATTTTTCAAACAAGTTGTCGCATTTCACCCCATTCGCAATACCCTTGCCGCACAGGATTGGGATATCACTGCTGCAGGCTCTCACTTTGCATTGGCCCTTTTCACTTTCCTGTATGTCGACATCATCGATTGCACAGCGACTTTGTACTCCATGGCACGCTTTTCAGGAGCAGTCGATCCAAAAACGGGTGACTTTCCCCGCTCTACCATAGCATATTGCACAGACGCAATGACAATCTCCATCGGCTCTTTATTTGGATGTTCACCTGTGACTGCATTTATTGAGTCAGGTGCCGGTATAACTGAGGGCGGCCGAACGGGTCTCACGGCCATCACAACTGGAATTTGCTTTCTGATATCCATCTTTTTCGCTCCAATCTTCGCATCAATTCCACCATGGGCAACCGGATGCACTCTCATTTTGGTTGGATGTATGATGATGCGTCAAGTAGTTTCGGTCAATTGGTCCTATATTGGCGATGCCCTCCCAGCTTTCGTCACCATTGTCTCAATCCCTTACACATACTCGGTCGCCTATGGACTTATCGCCGGGCTCATGACATATACCGCTCTCAACGGATCCGTCTACCTAACACAAAAACTCTCAAGAGGAAGACTGGCTCCTCCCGATGCGGATAATGCTGAATATTGGACATACAAACCGAGCGGTGGCACGGCACCATGGTTTATAAGAGTGGCTCATCGCAAGTTTTGGCAAAGAGGTGACATGGAAAGTATCGATGGTAATTCGGCTACCATGGAGCATGAATTGGCTGAGAAGAGACACTCGGAGGTTAGATCGTCGGATCTTTGATCGTGACGAGAATGATCTACCTACTGTGTTTGTGTTTGCAGCTTCTTGATCACGATTACTGTATTAGGTATTCACGCAGTACATCTTGTTGCAACGGACGGAAGTCGATTCAAACCAATAATGGATAATCTGACGATGTAATTGTTTGGCTGTGATGGATGGATGGATGACTTATGAGCAAATGACAGCTTATTTGAAGGAAGGCAAAAGTTTAAAGGATGAAGGATGAATGATTGGAATTATCTACGAAGAAAAGAAGTAGTGTAGTTACGTTCTTAGATCGTCTGGATATGAAATGAAATATAAGAGGAGCCTGCCTGCTTTTATGTTCAAAACATACATGGTTTTTGCTGAAACGTGCAGTAGCTTGGAGGAGTGATTTGAGGTATGAAGTTGATGCGACTTGCTGCTTGTTGAGACCGGCTAATTGAAGTTGCGAGCACAATGATGATTTTGTGGTTTAGTAATTGAGAATTAGGTGGTATAGCACTGTAATTACTTTTGCATCGTTGAACCATAATTCATAATTTCATATTATCACATCTTAGATCTTTTTTCTCCCCATTAATATCAACAATAATTCTCAACACATAACATAGTAATTTATAAACTTCCTTCCTCCATCTAGTCCCGCTTCCACTTTCTTCAGTGTATAACTCGCCTTGATCTCCTGAAAACAAATTGGGAAAGTTCCAATGATGTTGGATGTTTCCTTTGCGGAGATTGAAGTAAGATTGTTAGGCAGAGAAGGCTGCAAACAGCCTCGTGATTTATCTACCAGAATCCAGATTTCTTCACTATTCTATTGCATGGAAATTTAAGTAGTGGAATATGTTTACTGTATCTACCTTAGTGTTACCTGTTAAGATATGAAATAGATTCTATCCTACTGAGTACATCGATATCCACTTTCAGCCCTTCCGCCCATTTACATAATTTGAAATAAAATTTTGAATGCCAATCCGAGTAGAAACCCTATCATCACAGACCGCACTCATCACATCCTTCCTTGTATATACTTGCAGATTGCTTCTTCCCCTTCGTTTTTCCTGTTTTATACATTAGAGTGCGGCTCAAAAGACAACGGAGTTATATTCGTCGGACTTGAGTAAGACAGAAGTTACAAGGGAATATTTATTCTGTTTGTTATTCACAAATAAGGTGCGTCTATCTCCTGGAGTTTAAACTTGTATTAGAATGTAGTGACTGGCATATCTATTTTTGCTATAGGAAAAAAGTACTGTAGGAGATTTTGTGATGAGTAAACAGATTGTTCCTGGGTATTATGAGCCAATGTGAAGTGTGATTACACGATGGATTTGTATTGCACGATGTGGATGTTTTGGCTTTATCTTTTATGTCATTATATGTGATACAAACTCGATGTCTAGAATGCAAAACCTTGTGACCAAATGACTGGCGACTAAATTGAAGGGGTAATTACTACTCGAGTAGGTAGCAGTGTGAATTTAGGTAAGTTATCTCCATAAAATTGTCTCAAATCAGTTTGGTCGAGTCAAAATTACTCGCCTTTCTCTGGGCAAACGACTTAGTCTTGCATGGAAGATTACGCTGTGGATTCACCGGCGAGACTATGATGTTGAGTTGAGATCTTTGAACTATACTATTTATTAATGCCAAGAACTTTAGCTTCAATTCCATTTCAATTCCAAGACCCATACCCCTCGCACTATAACCCATATGATGACCTAGCATGCAAGAAATACCCACCAACCCTTGAATAGAAACGAAAATTAAGATGAAACTCAGAAAGTAGCAAAGTAAAACAGATAGGAAAACGAAGAGGGAGAATGAACCACCTAGAGAGAAACTGGTAGAAGCAAGAGAATAGATATTCCATCTCATGTCAAAATCAAAGATAAAACATGATTTTGTTCAATCTAGGATGCCAAGGATTGACTCGATCAGTCCGAGAACCAATCCAGATATGGGGCCCCTTTCGATAGTAATCTAAGGGATTCTGTTGCGAGGTACGAAGAATCTCTCCATCGAGGGCAGGCTTCATGTAACATCGCAGTCGATCGCAAAGGATATCTGCATACCGAGCTGGAATGCAGACCGACAAGCCTTTTGTTGCGCGAGAACTTACAAAACTCAATTTATGTGTCTAGAATACAAGTTAGTGTGAGCAGTCCCAACAAAAATAGAGTGTATCTCTACCACTTGTTCTAAGGCTTCCATTTCCAGCAGCCTTCATTGGAGATGACGGTGTAGTGTGCAGAGCGCGCCGTCCCTAATGGAGACTCATGACTTTGAAGAAAGAAGCTCATTTGGTTAGGGGCTGTAATATGCTTATCCACCACCAGGCCGCCGGCAATATTCTTAGTTTGATCTTTCGATTCCAGTGGAAAGAAACGCGTATGGTGACGTTTTATCACAACTACTAACGTGACAAATTTTTTGAAATTAGGTCTTCCGAATTTGGCCGCAGACTCTTCACAAGCAGCTTGAATTTGAGGAAGCTCTTGTTTATGAACCATGCCAAATTGGCTCTCGCTCATGCCGTCCCGATAAAAGAGAATATACGCAGGGAGACATTTATTGTGGGTATAAAAGTGAGCTAGTCTCTCCTTGAGCATACCGCCTAGATCTGAGATGAACTATTCCCGAGGTATTAGTCTACAGCTCAGCACATATTGCAGGGGCACTATCTCACCTCTTCATTGTTTGCCTGAATTCGAGACGACGCAGCGTAGTGACAAAATTTATTATCAAAAGAAGCAACTATGCCAGCCATAGATGGGCATCCAGTGTCCGGCCCCTTGCCAGCATGGCTGACATCTGCACCAACAATCATTACACGATTTACTTTATCAGTTTGAGTTGGAATGCACCCTCTGAATCCATAATAGTTCTCGGAGTTGCCAATGACGTGATTGATACCACCAAGTTTGAAATTGACCTTGAGGCTAGGCAATACGTCAGTTCAGATGTTGATAAGTACTAAAATATATGTTTTGTTTTGGCATACCTCAAGTTGCTTAGAAGACCGGCACTTTGAAATTTCACCGCTGGTGGCCCAACACAGACTGTTGCTATTCCTGCATGACAGTCTCCCCACCATTTGACGTCAGAGTAGATTGTGGCGTCTTTGGAAGGTAGTACCACAATTAGGAGGCTCGGTAGGGATTTCCCCACACATTTATCGAGAAGAATATTGAAAGCAGATCGTCGCTGGACAGAATCGTAGGTTTTGTTTTTATCGTTCGTAGGCCAGGCGACGGTGGGTACTAACTTCCCGTTGAAAGCCTGCGTTCCGAGGCCATGATCCTTGAGCTTAACGGCGAGAGCCTTGGCGAAACTCAAGACTTGCTCATTCTTTGGCGAGTCAGGAGCAATGAAATCGTTTGCAGTCACATGCACGATTTTAAGCTCGGGATACTTCTCACCAACATTGAACCCTTTCACCCCAACCAAGTTCCAAGAAGCAGTTTGGAGCTTCTTGTTGCATTTGGAATTATACGTCAAAGACGGGTGAAGCAAATGCTTCGAGGTTACTTCTAAAAGTCTCTCCTCCACCTTCATTCCACATTCCTATGCAAGTCAATCCACAGGCCCCTGCGAACAAAGTTTTGTAGCTTACCTCATAGGGAGACACCCATTTTTTACTTCCAGAATTAGGATCGGGGTTTTTCATGCCCAGTGGGATGAGTGCTTTTCTGATGATCTCTCGTTGGTTCTGTAGTAGTGTTTTCTTGGCGAATTTCAACATTTGTGCCGTGAAGAGATTATCCAGCTTCCATTGAGCTGTTTGCCACTCGCATATGTGTAGATGGTCTGCGGGCAACCATTTTGGATAAGATGTATTGCCGACATTGATACAAGAAGCATTCTCATCAAATACCATGGTGTGACCAGTGTGGACTGTCTGCAATGTTAATAAATTGTCGCTCCTATTTTTATAGGAACTTCTACTTACCATTCTTCATGTGTTGCCAGACCGTTTTTGAGGGATCTTTTCCCGATACCACTTCCCATTTTACTCCCTTAACGCACAGATGATTCACATCGGATATGACCAAAATTCGGTTAGGAACATCGTCTAAATCGAAAGTTACGTGGACACCTTTGATTTCATGCTTCTCACGTGCAAGAGGGATTCCCCTGTAAGACGGCAAGTGTCCCCAGCGCGCATCGAGCCAAGTTTGCAGTGAGATGGGAGGAAGAAAAGCTGTAGTAGTAGTACTAACATTGAGAAGCACAGAGTCCATACCAGGGTGCATTGAGGTGAAGAAGCCCATACGTACATCATAGACATGGTTTCGGGTTGAAAACCTCTTGTTGGATTCATTGAGAATCTTTTCAGGGGGATTATTATCAGTAGGATAGAACTTCTTCCCAACTCGGCCTCCCTTAAATGTGGAACAATTTATCGATTCCCATGAAATGAGATTCAGTATCCTTAAGTCTTCAAGAGGCAAGTACTCTTCGCTCGGCTTTGAAAGATTCATGTTCGATAGACGTTGAGACGGAGGATCTGATGTGTTTGTATAATCGATAAGAGAATCCCTTTGTAAGAAACCTTCGAAAAAAAGAGTGCTCTTCATAATCATTGCTTCCGGTAGTTCATCAGGCCTGATGCTTCGCGTGTGTGTGATAGAAATGGCGGAGCCAATTGCGTCCGAGCATTCGTCGTAAAGCTTACTAGTCGCAATGATATACGAGTGGTAATCTGATGTCCACCAGGTGTTTCGAGGCTTATGCTGCGTGTTCAAGATATTCTCAATTAAGGCTCTGATGCTCTCTCGCTTCTTTACAGGTCGTCCTCTAACTTGGCCTAACGAGATTCTGTATTTGCGGATATCCACTTTGTTTGAAATAGTCACTTTGAAATAATTCGCCTTTACCATTTCCTCTCCAGATAGGTTTTGCGGTGCTTTTGGCAAGTCTAAGCTTTGAATGGCATCGTCTCGAATCTTTTGCTCTGCTGTGGAAAGACCTGGAACCTGTTGGAAAGGAAGAGAGGTCCTAGGTCGAGGTTGATTCAGCAATTGATTTATTCTTTGAGTTCGTGTATTTCCTTGTGCTTGCGATGCTGATCGTCTGTTGCCATATCCGACGTTCTCAGAGCCCGACATCTTGGCGGTAACAAATCGAAAGGAGATACTTAGCTGAAGCAAGAATGATTCTGAACTGGGGTCAATGGATGTGAAATTACGTCTACTTATAATTATATTCCGTCGATGATTGCAGTTTGAACACTTTGTTAATAGTAGCAATAATATGACTCCCCACTGAAAACATCGAGAGGTAAGGTCAAACTGATCGTATGGGTGGGGCAAACACGATGAGTAGATGAGTTTGAAGAGTAAAACGTGAACAATTTATAGAAGAATCGAATCACCAAACATTATGGCCAGCCAGCTTATGTACTGTAATTGAACTGCGAAAACAGCCTAGGCAGTTATTGCATATAGCATTGCTTGTAATGCATTGTATCGAACCGATATGTTTGGTAGGCGGAAAAGATAGGTAAGCAATTTGTGATAGACTACTTAGTCAACACCGACCGTATTTATGAGCTTCATTATAGTTTGCTGGTTTATCTTCATGCCTTTCGGCATGACTGATAAGGCGAAATTGGATTCCTGTGCCCTGCTTGGCATTGCGATGACAATGTCTCATGCCCGAGAAAAGGCTTGTTCCTCAAATCCATGCAGTGGTTGATCGTCATCCATCATATATTTATTCATCGAGAAGACTCCGCAGAGTTTGAATAGTTCTCAATTGCATATAAGTTTCGCGAATCTATGCTTCTGTGTAGTCTGGTCCTCCTATTGCTGAAGATTGTATCTTGCTCGCAGATGGCGCGGCTTTGTCTTCAATAGTGGATTGATACTCGTCTGGTGTCAATAAGCGTTGAATCGGAGACCGAAGGAAGTCGAATAAATGGACCAAATAAACATAATAGCTCCGCTCCCACAATATATGTCGTTGACGCGATTTTGTGAGTTGTTGTTGGCCTCTCTTTGCACTGTCTTCTTGTTTGTTATGCAGCTTTATGAGGTTGGATGAAATCAGTGGTGAAAAGTGGGGACACGCGCCACAGCAAAGGCCATTGACTGCCGAAATCTACCTTCACCATTCCATCCATCAAACGCGCGCATACCATCAAGGTTCATTTTTTTCCACAGTCGAAATGAAACTGCGATGCAATAACTACCCGCGATGTGGTGTACCCATGTCAGTCCATCAAGTGTTGGGTGACTGGTGGATATGGCGAAGGCCACAGTCAGTATCTATACTCGAGTACATGGTAATGAAATTATGTAGCACCGAGGTCTGATCCCCATCTACAATGGCATCATGTCATAGATTCTGGCAAACAGATGCGATTCAATAGTTTGAGTTGATTTCTATGAGCAGAACAGACTTTCGTGCGAGTGCTCATTATCTCAATTCAATCTGAACCTTGAAGATTCATAGAAGATACATTTTCATTGTTCAGGTCCTCTACGATGGACATTTAGACTACATAGAGATAAGATGTTTTGAATGTCCAAGTCAAAGATGGGAAAATGGGCTAGGACATGGACAAAAAGTAGATTCACAGTCACAGTCCAACTGGAGCAATCATCACTCGATGTCAGAGTCAAGATAGAACAATACGCACTCAATGTACAAATCCAAATGGAATGATTTACGTTCGATGTCTTGTGTTGATGAGTTTCCAAAGCTTTGAAATTATAACCAGATTTCGTAAATTCATTGAATGGTCAAACACAGCGCAATCCTCCCGCCAACTCGACTCCTGCCTGATCGCTCATTGAGAATCTACTCTAAACAAAACTTGCCATCCCCCTTCCATTTTCCTTCTATCCAACTCCACCAAATAACGAACGTTGCCATCCCATATCTCTGAATGTTCAAGTCTATTCTAGAAACGAGCGATATCCATACCCGGCATCTTTTGATGCCTCATGCCCACAAAAACAATGAAATTGCGCAACCCTCTATTTTTCAAAGCATTTGAGGACATCTGAAATTGATCCTCCTTAAAAATCGAAGTTTCATCTCCGCTATACCTGTAGAGGATCAATTCTCAGACGGAGACGTGTCAACTGTCTTTTTCACCGCGCGCTGAACCGCTTCATTTTGGTGTGCTATACCGGAGGAAATAGTAGCTGATATAGACGGGACTGCATAGGTTTTATACCCTGGTAGATTCTCAAGACCTTTCTCTAGCTCATCCACGAGCTCCTTATTGTTGACTATTTCTGCCTTGCGTATTTCAAGTTTTTGAGCGGCGACGTCGCGTCTATCCTGGAGATTTTTCAAATCCTTATCGTTCTCAGTGTCCTTGCACGCTGCTAGCAGCTCGGTTTCTTTGTCTTCAAAACTTTTCTGTCGTTTCAGGAGATTCCTTACCAGATCCTCTTCTTTCTTGTCTGCACTTGCGTTAGTTGGCTTCGTGTTATGGTTGGCCTGGCATTTGGGGCCACTTACCCATAATGAGGTCTTTTGAATTCGCAACCCTGGTGTTAGTCGTTGCCATCAGATTAGGAACACCGAGTAGGTTATATTTCTGGATAGATCGAGCTCCGATGATAAGATCGCATTGGGAATGTGGTGAGATGAGGAATCGCATGTCGTGGAAGACCCGAGTGCTTTTGTTGTGGTACCAGGTCAAATAAATCGCTCCTTCTGGTACCTGAATTAAATATGATTAGTCCAACTCCCAGGCAGATTGGCATCCGTTGTTTTATCCATGAGCGCTGTGACAAGACAACTGTTGCGAAACTTACCAGTTTATGCCCTGTCACGCCGAAGCCGCCTTCCTTTTCCTCCTCAGTCAAAGGAACAAAATTTAATTCCGAATACTCGAGAATCTTTTCAACAAATTCCCTCGAGACGATATCTCCCTGCATGTTACCGGTATCTAAGGTGCACTTCGCACGTTTTGGAACTGGCTGTTTGTCCGTATCTCTTCGTGTTGAAAGAACAAGCACGGGAAGTACCCAAGGACAGCTCTCCATCTATAATACCCGTTAGTGGAGCACTGCTGTTGGGTAAACCTTCCTTACATCGGATGGTACGCCCTGGATGGGCCCTGAAGATCTCATTTTCATCTTTATTGACAATGGGATACAGAATATGATGTGAAGAATTGCCAGCAGATGATCTAGACAGCTATATTTTGATGGAGCGATACTATCGGAATCTTCTAAGCCCGAATGTGTGGCGATTTGAGCATCTTGATCAACGAGTGTAATTCTAGATAGGCTTGATCTCGAAGTTCGTTCGGAACCAGGGACAGATGCAGATCGCCCACGCTTTTTATTCGTAGTAAAGGCTTCGGCGGGAGGGGTTAGGAAGCCGTTGGGAATATTGTGCTTAGGATAATCTGTGAAGGTTAGCGCCGAAAACGTTGCGTAGCGTAACGCGTTTGCATGCGTACTACCTGTCATAATTTGATCACCACCTCACCAATACTTCACTGGTTCTTGTAATTATTCACGTCACCAAATCTTCAGACTGAAAATCTTTCTGATGCATTGAACATCGAATCAACGATTCCAAAATGGTCGAAGATATATATGGTTTTTCCCCATAATCCCAGCAGCGGAAAGTCGCACAGGTTTTCCCAATCCGTTCACAAGAGAAGCTTATGGGCCTAAAAGATATGTTTTAATTGCCTTGTAGCTGCCTTTCAAGAGGGCCAGCAAATACCTATGACTGCGCGACTTGCAGGCCGAATTGAGACACAGGGGCGGGCCCCAAGTTTCAGTCCACCGACCAATCATTGACGTGGCTTAGTTGCATGATTAGGGGCTATTAGCTGATAAAGCGGGAAAATTCTTTCTCGAGAGCATCGAAGAAAAATGGAAGAGGTGAAGGAAGCAAGGCATTCTCTTCCCGTGCCTCTGGCTTGAATAACCGAAAGGATGTCATAGCCATGTTTAATTGTGAGAAGAACATCAAAAAGACTTTGACTTAAATTCGTATAATATTGTCTGCGACCGAAAACTTTACTGCGTAATCGCTGGCATTGATAAATCGAGAGACTACAGTAAAGCCTTCAATTGCGACAGCATTGATTGACAAAGGTTTTGAGAAAATCCAAAAAATAAGCCGTGGCAGTCGGGCTCGCTCTCATATATCCCCAACTCGTCGAGATTGCAAGTACACATCGAAACGCTATTGCTGCCTCCAGACAGAGCCTCAAAATGTTTTGGTTATTCTTTCGCATGAATATTCATCGCATTACATATGCTTAGTGTGGGATAATTTACCCGGCTCCTTTCATTGGACGCCAACGCCAACGCCAGCGCATCCTGCTTCTACCACCCAAGAAAGTATTCTCGCCGATTAGCAACTAATCACAAAATTCTTGCACTCAACTCATGAAAATGATTCTTTAAATGTGTTATCTAATGCTTGAGGAAGTTTATGGCGGCTGTATAAGATTGTCTCAAGAATCCACCATAAAATTGCACATCTATATCTGATCTTTACACCTTCCAACATGATGTTGTCGATATGTGTGTGACTTTCTAAATAATTTCAATGGATGCCATTAAGCCCCAACTTCAGCCTTGCCGTGCATGAGATCTTATGGCTAATCTTTGAGCAGTCGCAAACACGGTCACTCTCAGCATGACATCAGAATCTTCAGGTATTCTTTGAAAGAGCCTCGTATATTTCTATCTATATTTTTAAAGTTATTGTAGGTATTTGGGAGCTCTGATTAGTGTCTTCTTCTTCGCGAAGTTCTAGAAGGATGTCCTTTTTTAAGATCAGTTTTCAATAAAATTAGAGGTTTCTGGGATCGGATATGATATTCGTCCTCTGTGTAGCGTGTTCTAGCTCGCAATATATGTGAGGCGCATATTTATCCGGCTACAAATCATAAGCAAATCCAGACCACCATCTTTTTACAGCCTACTAACCTCAGCATGTTTTGATCTACTCAGCTCTCAATTTGGTGTTTTGGAATTGCAGCGAGATGAAATGTGATAGAGCGTAGTACATACGATATGTACTGGCAGATGGTTTCTCCGCTTTGCTACCATCCTTCTTTACCGTTGTATATACACCTCAGATTAGGTTTATTGAACTTTAAACCTTCAGTCATTCATTCAATATAAGTCCTAGCATTCTTGCGTCCATCTTTATATCAGACAATCACAATGGCTAAGAAAACTCGAAACCTCGCCATCCAAGCTTCGCAACCGAGTGAGCCTGTGAGTCCGGCTACGACATCCCAGTCTGATGACACCGTAATCGGCTCTCCAACTTCTCAATTGCAATTTACGTCAGGACCATGGGAAGAAGATACGGACCCTTTTAAAGATCCAGAAAAGCCCCTGCCAGGATGGCCGCTCGTGTCTAAATTGATTGCCAAATATCCAGATCTTGAAGCGTTCAAGGCCTTCCGCGATCTCAACATCAAGAGTTTACTCTATTATCAAGCAGAACTGGAGAATTTACGAATGAAATTGCATCAGGCAGAATATACTGAATATCGCCAGGGCGAGCAAGAGGGCATAACGAGAGCGTCAATGATGGCGAAGAATCTTGACTACTATCTTCTGCATGCTCGACTGGATGATACCAAGTGCAAGTCTAAGCAAGTAAAGATTATGAGAGAAATTAGAGTCGTCCTGAAAAATTATAGTATGCCATTTAACATTCCAGTTTATAATCACGATTGCTGACAATGTTGATTTCTCAGATGATGCTTTACTTCAATACTCCCAAATTGCAGCATTGCCGAGAGCGGACCCGTACAATGTAGAAACTCTGAGGGTCTGGCTGAAGAGAGTTGGCGGACATTGTATCAGCGGACCTGCTGCATGTGTGTGGGGTGATTATACAGAGAATGTACGCAAGGCAAAACCTCTTAAATGGCAATTCACCAGTCTACTACGTAGCATCTTTTGGCCACCGGTTTCTGAGCCTGATACTCTCGATCTTATTGTACCTCGACAGGGTGATAAAGTTGATAGCCTTACGAGATGGGTTGCTAATGAGTTTGTGCCGTTTTGGCACAGCGTCAAGCAAGCGTTGCGGCGCAAGAAGGTGAAGACCACATCGGAAGAAAATAGGCTGCCTACTACTGAGACTAAGAGCCGCTCATCTTTTGGACGATCGGGGACTTCAAGAAGCTTTCATTCTTGGCTCTTCCGCGGGAAGGAATCGGCTGGTACAGTCAAAGAGGATCGAAAGCAGAAAAACGGGACAGGACTTACCGTTTATTCTGAAGCTCGCATGTTACGTTTCACCTCAGCTGTAGCAACGATTATTGCTTGCCTTTTACCCACAGTAGCAATCGCAGTACTTTCAAGTCTTCAGTCTACCGGAGAACTACTTGGAGTAATCGCGGCATTCACAGCTATTTTTGCTATGGGACTTATGTTCCTGACTGATGCGGGTACATCGAGGGTTGAAATCTTCACCGCTACTGCTGCGTAAGTTCAAAGATATCTTGAGTTGGGAAGCCAAAACTAACGTGATCCTAGCTTTTCTGCTGTCATGGTAGTGTTTGTGCAGAATCAGAATGTCTATGTTGGCTCGTATGGAAATAACCCAGGAACAAGAATTACGAATGGGACAAGCTCAACGAATTGATAAATGACTGCATTGTCGTAAGAACTGTACGCGTCTGGTACTACTCCATTTGTTTTGGTGTTTTCCTACTGAAAAGCCCCGGTTTCATTTCTCTATGCATGTCTCAACTTGAACGTCAAACAGCGTGGGTTAAATTATCCTATTTGACGTTTCCAACATTTTTTTACTTGACAGAGCTTACGCTTTGCCTATTTATTTTGCAGGAACTAATTCTCAGTATACTTTTCGAATTTCTCAATCTCATTGATGATCATGAAGTTATGGCTTTACGGATTATGGTATCACGACTCACGAGGTGTAACTCAAGTATATACGTATCTTAATTCCAAGTACAGATTTGCCCAAAAGTCTGCCCTGCCATAGGCATGCACAAACCTATCCGCACAGGGAGGGTCACACAGAAAAAGTGCTTACTGTTGCACTTTCTTTTTCCGGAAAAACATGCCTAAGTGTTATACCATCTAAAATTCTCACCCCCCACGGGTTTATGCAGTATAAGCAGACATGAGGCTCATTCATCTTCTGGAACTAGATGCTATTGGCAGTCTATTTCGCATGATCTAAGAAAGTCACCGACATACCGCTGACACCATATTCTAAGCGGCCATGCATTTCTTCATTCGATTTCTCTCTGCTCTCTCAGAAACTTGCGAACCACAAGAATTTTCGATACTGATATTGCGAACTGCGAAGACACAGTATTATTAGCGCTTTGATCTCAAAAGTAGACCGCAAATCATGAATGACTGTTCAGGTGTGGTTACATGAAATTCAGGAATGAAACGCTCATGTAGCATGTGCCAACATTTTAATGCGGCTTGTGAGTATATTATACGAAAACTACCAAGCCTATGGTTAGTTTTCGTTGACGGTATGAAGATCAGTTGTCCTGGCTGCACTGCATCGATATTGATGCAACGTTTCTGAAATGATCTATTCGCAATGTGACACTGGGCGTTATACCGAGGCTAGAGCTTCTATTTCCTGGAAGTCCATTATTCGATACTACAGCTGTTCATGCTGCAACAAATCATGGCGTTGTGGCTCATGGTGATACTGGAGTAGTGGAGGCTGGTGGACAAACTTGAGAGGAATGCCACATTATTGTTGACCTCCAACCAAGTTCCAACTTTTCGAGAGCCTCACAGTTAGTCACCTTGTCTCATGATAAACCTCAACCGCAGAATCTTCCATTTTTGCATGAACGGAGGAGGTATCCCTTGGTTAGTGATTAGTACACCAGAGAAAAATGCCACCTTTTACATTGAATCCAGATAAGCACATTCGTCTGAGTGGTATACATTAATGGAAAGAAATGTCAAGTTTATAGTAAGAGCGTAAAAATGCAGACTTGATTCGTCAAAGAATACTGTGTTCTGTGCTAAAATTCGAGATGATTCCATGCCAGAAAGCTGGACAAGCGGGGAAATCTCGGCTGTGCAGGTGTTGAAGCCCGGCAACTTGAGCTTACATAAGCGTGACCGCATCTCAATTGTTGAACCCCCTTTTCCATCTGACGCAAACGAATCACACGGTATGAATAACTAATCGACTTTTGTCCAATGAGAGCTCATAATTGGCATCCTGGCTTATATCGTTAATTTTGAAATCCTCTGAGATTATTGGTGCTATAGACTGCAAACACACATGCGAGAGATGCGAGATAGATGGGGTAGAATATGGTCCTGACGTGGATGCTTGAAGATTACAAGTGATTCTTACGGAGACAAACCAGACGACTAGATATACTCTGCAAGACTTGAGAGGTCCATTACTAGCATTCTTCAAGCATCCGAGAATGAGGATGGATTCACAAAGAGACAAATCGAGCGACCATATATACTCTGCTAGACTTGAGAGTAAGAAGCCCTTCCTTAAAGTTATTTAGCAACTTCCCGAAGCCGGTGATCCCGGGTTCTGACACTAGATTCCAATTCTCTATTACGATTCTAGATACTCCAGAAACTGATACTGCGTTTCTCTAATCATAAATTTCGAAATTAAAGCTTTAATTATAGTCTATGGTAGCCCTAAAGACTAACATTATCTAGTCCAACATATCAAACTGCAAAGTTCAATACTACTTGGCGCTCGATAATCCGAGAATCCGAGAAGTGGGAGATGATTTGACATTCGCGCCGAATTTAAGCCCTACCCAATCGCCGCAAGGTTTGGGCGACACAGAAAGGTTCTTGCGATTGTACCTTTCCCTTCGTTGATTTAATTGTGTCCAGACAATTGCGCAGCAATCGGGAAACCCGCGGCCATTGTGATTGTGTCATTCTACATACTTGTAGTTGATACTATACATATAGTCAAACAGATGCCTGCATGTCTAATTGTGTAGGTTATACGTTTCAGAAATCATCCGAAATGAAGTAGGCCGCCTACTCTGGTTCTACGTCTACCAGCTATTGCTACATTAGGACACAGGCTGGGAAGACTGTATGATATCTAGTGATGTTTATTTCATCGTTTGAGAACCAGAAACCGTTCATCCCTTAATTGTCATCTGCAACGACGGCTGAGATTCTAAATATACTGAGCTATGAAAATAAGCGGCAGATCTGAGGTCTTGGGTCTGGTAAGGAATGAATGAATTTTGATTACCTTCTGTTAATCAAAGCTTATTATTCTAGTGTTTTTTAGGCTAATATCTTCATACTTAATATGGAGATGGTCAATGACACACTGACTAATAAACGCAAATATTCTTCATTGCTATTGTTCTTCTGGTCGGATACATGGTTATACACATTTATATATTGAAAGTGCCAGTTTGGTGGCATGGTGAACTAAGCCTTTCCAAAATTTGAGTACGAAATCATAAATCAAAAGTTCTGGTTTGGCATTTTGGACAATGAAAGCTTTCAAAAATGCTTCATTCATTTAATCTGCCATACAGTGCTGATAAATATGAGTACTGCTTCATTGCACTCATATCCATACTGTTTCAATCCCACTACCTGACTTTATTAATGCTTCGTAGTCTTCGAATAACGGCACACGCTTTTTGTCAAATTCTCCATCTCTTTAAAGACGTTTCGTTCTCCAATACCATTTTCATCGCTCTCGGAAATCACTTCTGACATTTAAAATTCTCGTCAACTTCAACCCTTTGTTCTCCATTCTTTTCCTTATCTCCCCTGCTAAGGAGTCTAAGATCCAGTCTTTTCTGCTTTGTATTTTCAACTTTCTCACTCACGGCATCTTGCGAATCGTCTACCGCTTTCGGCTCGCCTTTCATATTATAGTCCAACATACTATCGAATTCAGTCATATAATCGACTGTATCTTTCGCCCACGCACGAGATTCTTCGTCTTCGTCCGGTGCAAGATTTTCGAAACGCCCCTTCCAGAAAAACCATCGCTCCAAGCTAAATCCGTCCTGGGTAACTCCCGCCCTTTGGGCTAATATTCCGGGAGTTTGTATCCGCACGATGTCTAAAGCTTCCCTGTCGAGATCATGATTGTCCCACTTCTTTTCAAGAACCGAAAATCTGAGTAGCTTAGCACCGGCAATGCGAATCCAGATAATCGTCGAAGGGGCCAGATGAATAGTCGCCTTGTCAGCCATTTCGAGAGCCTCGCGCAGGTACCAAAGTGCACTTATACCAAGCCAGTCATGAGTGCCCATTGCCAAAGCCTTAGCCGTAAATGTAGCAAGGCTACACTTCTTTTCTATAGTGTCGTGAGCTGGAAAGATTAATTCCTTCCATGAATTCTGCATGACTTTTACCAAGTGATGGCATTCCCACGAAGATCTGGTGTGTATCTCCTCTGGATGAAGGCTTTTCCGAAGGACATCGAACTCTCCGGTCCAGAGTAGTAAACAAATCAGCTTGTCATGAAATGGATCATTCGATTCGACGGTCTGGGCAGCCTCGGTAAGAATTTTCCAAACACTAACAAGCGCTTCTTTGGAATCGTCCTGTGGTTTTTGTAGAGAATCCTTGATACGGCCGCGGCAGAAGGCAATCATATCATCCATCAATTGTTGTTTGTTCTTACCTTTGAAGAGATTCAGATTCATTTTCGAGAGAAGATCCTGCAGTCTTGACCGATCCGGCGTGCAATGTCTAATCGCGCCTCTTTTAGAGATCGGCGCCACCATCTTTATTGATGAGAGTGATATTAAATAAAGTAATGATAGAAATGTCTCTAAATCCTTTGAAGCTGGAGAAATTAATGCAAATGTTTTGTGGTGATGACATCTATGTTTACAGATTTATCGAAGCCGACATATTTGTGTTATTCATGATGGCTCCTACCTTAGTAAACGTTCAAGACTGAAGAGTTGTTCTTACTAAATTGAAGATTAGGATTCTTTTGGTACCAAATTTGGCCTCCGAGATGGCTATCTGTGCTATCAGATATGGAAAGAACAATTTCTGTAGCCTTAAGTGCTAGATTCAATATGGTTTCAAATATGACAGAGAGTAAATTGGATATACAAAGCAATATAGAGATAGAAGAAATGAGCTGATAATGGCAGTTAAAACCCTTTTCAAAATTTACTGCTGAGAGTTTTATTTGAAAGACTCGACCTATTTGAACCTTCAAACTCCGGTACAAGATTCATAACTCTTCAAAAGTCAGAACCTTCACCCTCAAAGATATGCAACGAGGTTTGTCTAAAGAACTCTGGATAAAATGTCATAGGGATTTAGAAGCCTGGCATATGACCGTGACTCCTTGGGCTGCTATCTATTGATAATGCTTCATCTTCTATGAAACATTACCACATCTGCTGTACATTATCTGCGGCGGAAACACATGGCCTTCTGGTAAGCTTCATATCACTTCTACCGGACCACTTAACACACTCTTCGCGCTCTCTGTCACATTGTCGCGCTGATCATGGTTATCGTCTACCATGTTGAAACATTTTCCACAAGGACATCTGCCGAATCATCCTTCTTCCGCTCTATCATTTGTATGGATGATTTGGCTTTTAAACATGTTTGTTGAATACGCGACTGCATCGCCTTGGGCAATATATGCCATTTGCTCTAGAGCATGTATTTCTATGCACTTCTAATCACAGCATGTTCCATGAAAATCCGCAGGAAGGAATGCAATGTGCATTTTGGTAAACACGGGAAACTAAGGTCAATCTTTCGATTTTTTTGGCGTGTGGATCTGGATACTTCCTTTTCGAGCCGTTTTCTACTCGCGAGTTGCAGTCACAGATATTTTCACTGTAGAACGTCCAATTCAGGCGGACGAGACAGGGGTAAGGATCTATTCGTCGACTTTGAAGCTGGACTGGCTTTGATAGTTGGTGCACTTCTGTACGAATACCGCGAGAGGAACTCAAAAGTGCATTGCTTGGATGTTGATACTCTGCAGCAAATTTTGACCGTTGCATTGTTGATGTGGTTCATGAAAGTATTCTAAAACTCCATTCCTTCGAATAAAATAGTTGTTCGCGCTTTAATTCTTGCAATTCAGGTCGTAATCATGACCGCAGCAGACCTCCAATGTGTTTCTGGCTGTATTTAGCATTGCTCGAAGATGTGCAGTAATTATCCGAATACCCCGGTACCGATAGGAGAAGTTGTCAGATTATATCTGGTATCGTATTTATGCATTCGTCAGACAAGATTGAATCATTGACTTCTGAAATTGTTGTTTCTACGAAATTCGGTCCAAGTCGTTGGTGGATGCAGTGTGAACAATAACAGGAATTGTTACTCTCAAGATTCATCACAGGCATGTGGAATGACATAGTTGGATGCCATTTGCAACATTTGATCTCTGCCGACCTCGTTCCGGATGTGTTGGTCATCCAGGCTTTTCTCGCTACTGAGGAGCATCATGGCTATTGTTTCGAGGTTTCTGCTACTGCTGCTAGGGCGCAAAATATTGAGGTGCATCAATGGTACATGGCCAATTCCAAAGCTAAACTTCATATTGTCAGCGGTGTGACCCAGATGCTATACAAAGACTAGACCAAACTTGTTCACATACCCGCATTGGAGTTTGATGAGGATAAGCTTGTAATTATGCGTCGAATAATTTAAATGTGAATTGTCTCCACCAAGAAAGAAACATATTCATTCGGTTCAATCTCGAAATGCGCAAAAATGCTCTTTAGTACAGGGCGGGAAGGTACTGCTTATCTGGGGTTCACCGCTTTGCGCAAATGAATCATCCTGAAGCAGACATTTATGCCGCAGAGGGAATGTTGAATCGTCATGGTTGGATAGATACTGGCAGATGATCATCTAACAATTGGCGGTGCAGGTGAACAGGGTCACATCGCTTGTATTGCTCTAATCACTTCTGTGATTTATTCAACCGCGGCGACCACGGTAGAAGAGGCATTGGCAGGTCTTATTTGAAGATTGATCTACTGAAGAAAAGATCGTTGAAGGAGTCCCAGTAGAGTTTAATCGCCATCTCGAGTGATTGAAGGTATGTGGTGCGATCTATTCATATGTTTGTGTAGTTTCGTGAAAGCTTTCACAGTTCAACTAAATATGCGATGAATCAGCGGAGGAATACGCTAAGTTGAGATCAACCCAATATATAATAGACTGACCTGTGTCGAAGTATAGTGCAAGGGAATTATCGGTCATGGAGTCTTCTTGCAGGAAGAGGTCGCATTTAAGCTTCGTCTTTTAGTCTTGTCCTCTGCCTTGGACTGAGAAATATCTTTATGTAGATCATTCTTTGACTTATAACTAGACTCGAGTCAGCTGTGAATGTCTAGGGGAAAGTTTGATGGTATACCACCAAATGTAAACAGCTCCATCTCAAGCCGAGCATGGACCAGTGTTTTTGTCGCTTCGAGAGGATCCCGTAGTTTACCCTTGATAGGGGAACCAATTTCATGAACTAGTCATCAAAAGCCATTGTCTCTTCAATAGAATCATGTAAAAGATGATTTGATTGTAGATAGAGTGGGAAATAAACAAGTCTTGATAGGGAAGCATAGACTTTAAGTTCACAAATGGTCTAAGCTCAGCCTTGTCATGAGTGTCTCCCCTGATTGGATCAAGCAAATGAGGGCTGCTCTACAATCGAGAATTGTTTTTTTGACATATGAGACCTTGCCATTGTATGTTGTTTGCATTCTGCGGAGATATTGATGCGAATGTGTAAGCTTAGCATAGCTTTTGAGACCGGCTTTTTGAAGTTAAGACAAACAACGCAGCATCGAAGCCATTTTTACGACAGCCAGCAGAAACACGCGGTAAACAGAGCATAATCCTGTGTGTAAAGCTCAATCCTAAAACAGAACTCCGTCTAAGCTTCGAGGTGATTGCACAACAAAAAGCCCTCAAACTCCATCATCATAACGCCTAGGAAACAACAAACTCGCTGTTGCTCCAAGTTCTTTCGCAATATCTCCCAATCCTTCCATTGGCACACTTCAAAAGAGCAAAGGCAATTAACTAGTAGCCCACAAGTTATAAACCAATCTCTCAAACACTCGTCGCTACCAGTCTACAAGATGGCTGCAATACCACCTCTCCCAATTGGAGCTGTCTTCGCTGGGTTTCCCCGCCTACCACTGGAAATACAGATCAAAGTTTGGAAAGAGGCTGCGGCCGTAGATGCGAACATACCACAGAGCGACGCGGTAATTGAAGTTCATATGAGAAAGAACGAAGCAACTGGCGAAAACTGTTTCGTAAGCGAAGCCCCTGTGCCATCCGCACTCCTTCACACATGCCGCCTCTCTCGCGATACGGCCCAGCAAATCTTCCCACGTATCGAGATTGAGAATCCTACTATCAATGGCACTGGCACTATCAAAAACCCAACCTTTTGTGCTTATATTAGCTTCAGCTGTAATATTCTGGTATTTAATGATGATCATACAAAACATGTTGATGAGGCTTTGGAGTTTTTCATCAATTCGGCGTATGGGGGCAAGATTCTCCATATTGCCTTTGGCACCGAATCTATTGCTAGCCTTGAGGACGATGAAGATTGGATACCAAATGAAGATATACTCGAGATCCTCGCTAGGTTCTCGAACCTGGCTTCAGTGACCGTGTGTGCCTCCGGTATTGATGATATATGCTGCTCTCCTATAGATCAATCATCTTCTCACAAGAGAGCTGGTGGACTGCTTACGAGCGACAGCTCGACTGTTGATGGAGGAGAACATCTGGTTAGGAAAGCGGTAGAAGATTGTTTGAGAGATATGCATGGTACCAACGCTGGTATGACGCACGTCCAATACACCGATCCGAGTACCCCTATTCCGGGTCTACCAGAGGTCTTGGTTAGGTCATTTTGGCGAATTTGAGCGCAAATACCCCTATTGAGCAATACTAGGAGTAATCGTCCACTCTATTGAAAATATTGAAAGCATCTTCTTGTATACTTCTCCAGATCTTGTGGGTTTAGGGCACTATCCGCTAATTAGGGCGTTTGGAAGTAGTCATGATATTATGATCAATTGATGAACTGGTGGTAGTTAGATCTGACTGATAGGTGGAGTAATTATATTGTAGATTCTGTGAGTGTATTATAAGGGTATAAGGGATCACTGTATTAGAAGAGTTAGTACTATCGTACATAATCCAATGAGATAATAAAGTTATTGAGTTTTGATCAGTTGGAGAAGTTAGTACTAGCGAAGACGCCAGAGTGACACAAGAAGAGTACTCAGATTTGATATATCAGAGAGGTTAATGATATTTTAGATACCAAAATGATATAACAAAGGCTACTAGACGTTGGAAATATCAGCGGAATTTGTAGTATGTTGGTACTGAGAGTAAGAAACAGAGGATATTCTGCTGATATATTGGAGGAACTAAAGATTTTTTCATTTATAGAAAAAAGACAATATGCAGTGTTGATGCTAATATATTAGAGGTCAGTGTTGTTGTACTTATTGAAAGTAGAAAATAGATAATTACAATGCTAACATATCAAAACTATTATCGTTATTGTATCTATTGAGAGTAGGTAATAAAGGTATAAGTGCTAAAGTATCGAAGGGATTAATGATATTGTAGTCATTGAAAATAGACAATAGGCGTTTTCAATTTTCACATATTGGGGAAGTTAATGTTATTCTACTCGATGAAAGTGGAAAAATAGGTAGTGATGATGCTAATATATCAGAGAAATTGAGGTTATTGTAGACATTGTAAAGAGAGAAAAGAGCGTTGACTGCTGATGTGTTGGAAGACCTAATGATATTGTAGAAATCAAAATGATGTCACAGAGGCTACTAGGCCTTAATGTATAAGAGAAGATGATCGCGTTGTGGATATTGAGATTTTACAATGAAGGCTAATATATGTCAATCCAAGGGATGAGTGACTACAGTTGGCTTGCAATGGCCAGATAATCACAAAGGAATACACCAGCTAACTATCCTGTATGATCAGTAAATTTCAGAAAACGAAGGACGTGATTTACAAAGGATGACATAACAGGACAGGAACTTACAGATGACTATCTACGGCGATGAGTTTTCCTTCCAATGAACCATACAGTACTCTGTTCCTGTCAAGTATTTTCTCCATTGATTGAACATGATTTCATAGAGAACCATGATTACTTTGTATATTCTAGCACGTCATTTCCTTGTATATGATAATTCGACCACCCTTCATGACTTTGCTTCATCATCGCACCATAGCACCATAAACCCCAGTGTAGTAGAAGAAATAAATTGCTCACACTTCATCACTTTTCATTCATGCATGCCAGTGGGTGGTCCGAGATCTTCACGTTGAAACATTCCCCCTTTCAGAGCTGGCCATACAAGATGAAGCCTCGCCGCCATTTTCGGTCATTAGCTACTGCAAAACTGAACTCATAGAAATAGACTTTTAGTTCAGGAACGTACTCGGCCCCTTCATAGTAAATGCTACAATTATAGTGGCCAATTCGTCAGGCAGCGAGCTATCCCTGACGCCTTGTTGTAAGCTGACTTGCTAATGATGTTTTGATAACCTCGCTGACTTGTTGATTAGCTGCTCACCAATTACCATGCTACATAACTTTGGTGATGAAATGATTTGCATGAAGACATATATAATTTTCCAATCCAAGTACTGTCAATCTCGTTCCGTTCTGAACAATTACCTATCTTGTTGATAGATCTGACTATCAGAGGCTTGAAACGTATCAACTGTGTGTAATTTATTTTTCAAACAATGCTCTGCGAGTTCCGTCAAGATCTTCCGAATTACTTTCAATAACCTCAAAATCTTCTCCAGACCAACTAGATCTCAGCTCATATAGCCCATAAGCTAGTTGGCAGCTCTACTATGCCCTAGCGGATGAAGTTTTGAAACTTCAACCTGCTGGCTTACGCTAGTAGATGATTGCTCCGTCACTCTCCCTACACTTTGGGCAATGAGAAGGCTTGTTATATGGCTATTTGCGAGCCTGTTTGATATTGTCAAGAGTTAGAGCTATTCGGTTTGCTTAATAGTGGCAAAAAAAACGCAATATCGTATGAGAGAGACGCCAGAAAGATGGCTCGAAAAGGCGAGGTAGCAGAACCCGCCGTCTATAAAGAAGTACGGGAGAGTCGCAAAATCGCGGATAGCAGTGGAATCATCCCCATTTTCTAAGCTGTACTTATCGCACCTAGTTCATACATTGATATTTGCGAGTAGTGGTTGAGGTATGGGGGTGTTGAGATCTCTAATTTGGAGTTTGTACCTGAGGTCATCGTGGAGACCCAAGTTTATTAAATCCAGGCATGACTTCAATATAAGGTACTAGTAGGTCCCACTCTTATCTTATTATTACAGTAAAGGTTTTGATAGCGATCGAGTTGTTGTGCCATGGCTAAGAAATGCGTTCTGAGCACATGTTATAGGCCGGCTGTGTTGGTGCACGCCGAGTCACCGGTATCTGCTTGATTCAGTCGACTGTCGAATGATATTTCATGAGAAACATTGCAAGGACCGTCCGCATAATTCTTGACACAGGAGTGGGTACGGGAAGTATGAGATATCTAGCTCTGGTATGAAGGGAATACGGGATCGACCAAATTGAATGGTATTGGCATAAAAAATCCGGTGTAGGATTTAGCGGAAGTCGTGCCATACAAGCGGAAAATCGGATTCGTGACAATGCGTTCTATGGTCTGTCGCTAAACTCAGCTGACTTCGAGGATGAGAGGATTATCAACGTCCGGGTACTTAATGTAGTTAAAGGACGATTAACCGTATGCTTTTGGGTTTACCATCCCCAAGCCGTTTGAAGAAGCAAACAAATTAGGCCCCGATTGCCAATCCGTTAATGGTTCTACATAATCACCGTCAATTACCCGCGGAGACCTGCGGGGAATCACAGGTAATCCGTCAAAACTGAGGCTCGAAATTGAAAGGTTGAAATAAACCTCTTCAAAGTTGATGCTTGAAAGTTAGGGTTGAGGCTTAGTTGAGGCCGAAGCCGACCAAATTCTGAATAATCATATCCCCCATCCAATATATGCTCACCGCTCAGCCCGCAGATCTAGGCCTAACAGGAGCTCCACCGGGGGTTGATCAAAGTTTTTAAACTCTTTGGTCATAGTATTGGTATTGATATTGACACTAATGATGATGTTTGGGGTAGCAAGAGATCAATCAATGTTCGATATTTGCGAAGGAAATGAGGTGGTTCGTCTGATCTGACGTTGCTCAGATATACCCATCTAACCCTAAAGAGGTCTAGTGGGAGCAGCTTAAAGTCACGAGACTTCAAGTCATATGATCGGTCGAGATCAAAACAATTTCATCTTTTCCCAAGGGGTTTCGAGATTTTAATCTAAAACCCTGTGCAAATCATCTTTCTCAAGAGGACCTGCAATGACGCACTTAAATTATCAGATGTTCAATATATCGAATAAATCAAGTCGTGAATTTTAGAGTCAAGTCCCAACGCGAGTTTTCGATACTCTCGCAGCTTCCGGTACTATCACCTCCAGTTTCACCCATAAACATCTGTACCAAGTCCGTCCTCGATAATTATCCATCATGTTTACCAAATTCCCGCTTCTCCTCAATGCAGCTCAAGTTCAGCTGCCCCGCACCGATCAATTTGAAGCCCTCTGCAATGGTACGTGCCGGGAAGCCATTGTCTTACGTTATGCATGTACATTCCTCTTTCATCCAATAAGTCGACTGGGTGTCTTATAATCCAATTTTACTCGAGTTACGCACCAATAAGTCTGGTTTAGTTTGTTGACTATTGACGTTAATTGAAATTACCAATTGCAAATTCCGGGCTCATATGCTCTCGTATATAAATATTTACAATGGTCGCCCCTCACGTTCTCATCGCCCAATCTCGTTGCAACGTATTATCCTACTTCATTGGAGCTCAGAATAGCCTTTTTAGTCTTGGTATATGATCTTCGTCAGTTCTGCATTATGAAGCTTCAGTTTGTCCTTTTTGCTGGTGCCGTTGCTCTTAGCAACGCCTCTCCTCATGTTAGTCAACCATACCCTAGCAATTTCACAATGATTCTAACTTAGCCAAGCCCACACCAGTGGAAGTTCGTCATTTCTACAAGCCGGATCTTCCAGATAGAGGCTACGGCTGCAATTGCACCGATACTACCCCGGGGCCACTCCCCTCCTCCGCTCCGTACCTTTGCCTCGACTGGAGGCTCGGGCCAAAAGTGCTCCCGAGATATCTTCCTCTCTCTAGCGAGCTATCATCTTACAATAGATTCGGTGGAGTTTCGCCGGGAGAGTTTCTGGCAAAGTGGTGGAATACCACCAGTCAATCATATATATACCCTGGGACAGTGACCAACGGGTTTTCCACCGACATCAATGGGAATCCTATCAATGGTACCATGATCCTCCCAGCTGGTACACTCTTGGATAGATTTGGGGGTGAAAAAACTGGTTCGTTCCACTCTTACTTACATCTTGTTGCCAACTACACTCTACTAATGTTAGCAGGCACGTATCTATCTTCTGCCGATACGCCGTATTCCCAGCGATCTCTCCCGCCTTCAAATCTCAACGATAACTCTTATTACCCGGGGTTTCCCTATGCATATCACGTCTACCGAGTCATGCAGGACTTAGAAGTCGTCGGTGGACCAATAGCACCTGTGAGCATTTCTGTTGTTTCAAATCGCACATCCCGATCCTAAATTCCCATTCATGCTTCATACTCTATATTCCCTTCGAAGCCCGATGCAGCGTTAAATCTTGGTTCTCTTCAACAAATTTTTGATGACTGACTCTTTAAAATAGTGGTTTGGGCAGCCGGGACTTGGAACACAATTCTTTACAGGAAGTGATAAACCTGTGGAGTGGCTGATTGCCAATAAGTTCTTAGAAAGAGTCGATCTTTCTATTTTGATCACCAACAGAGAACAGAAGGGTTGTGGTTACTGAAAGAACTTGCCTGTTGTGGCAAGGTGGGCAAGATTATCTATTGATTTTGAAAACTTCACTTCTACTGGTAATTTATTGGGCGACTAAATTAAGTTTAATGTCTAATGATTTTCTTTCCTAAGGATTTGTTCAATGCTCTGAGGGCACCGCCGTCAAGTGATACTCAACTATGCGCAGTTATGTTCCATTGGATATCATACCTAAATTCGTCCTCCCAGGAACCCTTCTTGTCCAACATTTATACTTGTCATGATTGATCATACCATTATCCAGATCAATTCCTTCCTCCCAAGCCTGGACTAAGGACAATTTTCTTTCCGACGAGACTTGAGTTCAATTGCTGAACAGTTTCCGGTAATATGTGGGATGTTGCTGAGGTAGCACCTATCACGGTGATATTTGAACCTCATGTTTCTATCACGCGTGTGATCAGTCAATGCAGGCACGCTGATTGTTCTGATTGCGCTCAGGCAGACAAATAGACAGACAGACAGACAGATAGACATGTCACAGATGAATCATGATACATCATCTGATCTTCAAGGCAATCATAAGTCCAGTATAAAGCTGCAGGATTTTCAGGATATCAAGTGAAATTCAATGTCTTGCAGTATCTTTAGTCATTCATTAATATAATGGGGTCTTTGATCCGTCACTGATAGCTATTGAGATGTATATCATTCCATTCATTATTTATACGAAGTGCTTTCGTCGGATTCAATATCAAACTTATTCACTAGAATCAAATTCACACTGAAATGTATCAATCACTCGTGGAGGACCTACCTTTTTAACTAGCCCTATACGCACAATCCTTGACTTAATTTAGTGGCGTTCCTGCCCCGCACACGAGGAGACCTTATATCTAGCTCTCAAGACTCAAGGGGAATACCATAATGATTCCAAATCTGTCAACAAAGATCTGGTTCAGATACAACAAAACGACTATGTTCTCCCTACGAATACCCAGGAATCACAGTGATAGTCAAATCAGCTAGCTCATCATAGTGATTTTCAAGGAGACAACAGTATATAAACCACCAGGAAGAGCATATTGCAGATCTTGAAATCATGGTCGAGCAAGACACAACCCAAGCTTTGAACGCAATGATGGAAGGCACACTACTCGACGATACCGATGCCTTAGGATCCGAGATCGATGATATCCTGTCAACTGACCAGTCCTTACGTCGTCTCAACAACGAGTCGAAGAATCACAGCAATTCACAAGCTATTGCACAGTCACCACCCATGGCGAGCTCGACACTCTCTCGCGCTCTAAAGGCAACCTCCGGCAGTGAAATTCTCCGAATGCTCAGCGCTTTCCAAAGAGCGCAGATACAGCAAATATTCCTCGATTCATCCAAGACTGTTTCTGCCTGCCCATTCTTGGACATATTCCCATCAGAGCTCCGCAACAAAATATATGGTTATCTCCTGGTAAATCCAGAGCTCGGCAAAGCTTCCTCTGTGCGCAAAAGCGATCATTACGGAAGGGACTGCCCCTAGGGTCTTGTTCCTCAAATCCTTTGCACTTGCAAGCAGATCTACGAAGAGTGTACACCAATACTGTACGGGCGAAATGATTTCCTTATTGAATGCGTTGAGTTTGGTATGAGTCCGTTCAATGAAACACGTACAAAAATTAACATCTCGCCACTGACACGATACTTGCACGACAAGGAAGTCACAAAACAACACGAGCGCCCTTTGCTTGACGACATAGTCATACTTAAGCATGTCAAGCACTGGTAGGTTGTCCTAACTGCCATGTATGGCGCAGATGATGTGGGAGATGAAGAATTTATACGCAACTTCTGCCGCGCCATCAGTTTGCATCCGCCCAGATCAATCGAAATTCTGATGATTCCAGGGAGCGGCGAAAAGACTTCATCGACATCATTCGATCCGCATATGGTTTTCGGCATTTGGTATTTCGCATGGTATTGGAGCTAGCCACGAAGATCGCCATTCGAAAGCAAAAGCTTCTGTTTACTACTCGCTACGAGGCTCTCCCACGAGAACAAGCCATGAAGCTGTGCGAAATGGCATACGAGAAGCAATGGTGGAATCGTTTTGTGCACTACTACAAGGAAGCTGTGGATGACATGGACACCCAGTACCTTGCAATCAGAGACGCTCGGAAGAAGCTGTATGCATGGGGCCTGGCGTCGACCGTTCGCGAAGTTGATGTCAAGCCCATGCTTTGCGACGAAATGGTTGACTGGGACGTGTGGGAGCCAGATCTGCGCATCAATGAGTTTGATCACGAGTATCGGTACTATCCCGAAGATGATCAAGATAGCGATCACGAGGGCTCTGTTGAAGGGTCTGTAAGGTCCAACGATTCTGAGGATTAATCCTAGTAGTGACCAAGATGCGACCGGACATGATAGTGTTAGGAATGAATATGGTAGATACGATTAGTGGATTTATGTAGCTTCATCTTGTACCATATTAATAAAAGCAGCCCTTTCATTTACACACCTACTATTTGAATTATAGTGACAGAGAGTGTGTGAAGTGTCGGATTCAGCCAGCCAAGGAAAGGGAGAAAACCACGATCACGACCTAGATAGCACTTTAGGGTAATACCTACCTACCTACCTACCTACCTACCTGCCTAGCTATACTCAGTTCTTAGTTTGGTGCCCAAGAGATATAAAAACCTCGTGATAACAACTAAGTGAGTTCAGAAGTAAGAAAGTGAATTTTAAAAACGGCAATTTCCCTAGCGCAATATTATTCTGCAGTGTGGTAGATGCGCGATCCTTATCCTTTCACTTTCTGCGACCAACCAACCTCTCTGAATTGCAAACAAACTCCATCAAAGACAACTTCGATGAGTCTATCTGGATAGATATTGGAGACTTTTAAAGAGACTTTCCAAGGGCAATTCAGGAAGATCTATATTGTGAGTATTGCTCTGTTGTCCCAAGAAGGAATTGAAACTTCTCCAGCTTCGAATGGTTACGGCCAAAACTGACACTCGACAATAACATAGGAGGTCCTTTACTTTCGACAGAAGTATTCCCTCAGCATGATTCATACCGAAATCTCATCTGCCAAAGGACCTCCGATTATGGAAAGAATCAATGAACAAGTCTCAACAGTCATTACGCATTTGTCTACCCCCCAGCGTGGTAGCACTTTATCGACAGCTCGGCCAAACTCAACACTGAAGGGCGTTCCGCTCAAATTGCGAAGACATATTTGGAAATACCTTTTGCTCAACCCTGATCTCGGAGACGTCCAGTCAGTCCAAGGGAAGGATGGTTATGGTTTGGGAACCAAATATGGACTCGCACCTATCATTCTATGCGTTTGCAAGCAGTTTCACCAAGAAGGAATGCAGATACTCTATGGGGAAAACAAGTTTTCGATAGAATTCTTTGATCCAATGTGAGAGAGTGCTGTTCCAAGCAGCGCGCTGACAAGATATCAGGGCGAGATCAATTACCATTCTTTCCTAAGTATGGTGAAAAACGTAAAGCATTGGAAGATACTTTTCTCTGCAAATGGGAAACTAGAAGATTCCACCGTTGTTAGCTTTTGTCGCTCTATATGCCACAGCCAAGTCAAATCAATCGAGGTTATGATTATTCCTTATGAAGTTGGATATCATCATTTCGATACCGACTCGGAAGAATTTTCCCAAATGCCAAACGCTAGGCAAATGCAGTGTGGGATTTCTCCATTTCATATTCTTCGGAACATTGAAAAGGTTATCATTCGCGAAGCAGACTTGAATGAGATGCCCGACCTTTTTAACTGCGAGAAGGACTATGATCGCCATCGACGGAGTATGCTATTGCCAGATCCAACATATCATTCGGAACCTGTCGCATTACTCCAAAGCAACACAGAAGTGGAGCTATTTCACGAAATTTACGACTCTTTTCGCAGATACGCTCAGGCTTTTGAACGAATCACTAGGTTCAGAAGAGAAATGAAGTGCCCACCGTTTGATTTCAATTTCAATTGGGAAAATCCCTTTCGCTACAATGCCAAATATCATCCTGTAGAGGAGGCTCTTTGCAAGGCTACCCTTATGATCCATCATGATGAACCAAAATTGAAAAGTGGAAATATGGCTGAGTTGAAAAGCCTTCAGTCAAACGCTCTCAGGTTTCTCGAACGCCAGTATCAAATTTTTTAGAAGGCCGCTGATGAATTGGTCGACTTTATCAAGGATGAAAAGAAGCACGGTAAACTATTGAGCCCTGCGAGGACATCTCAGCATTTTCGTCGAGAGCATGATGAGGCATTTGTGTTATTGATAAATTACTCAAAGTCATTTGAACGAAAACCAACAGTAACGACTAACTTCGCGATTCGTAGACTAAAAGAGTCTTATCAAAAGGAGTTCGAAAACCTCCAGCGGGAAGTTGCCTTGAGAAAATGCACGGAGGCTTACACGAATGGCAACCACGAAAGCTTTCTCAAGTACTTCAAACTTGCAGTTGATGATATGGATGCCCAATATCTGGAGATACGACAAGCTAGAAAGGGGCTCTTTCAATGGGATCTGCAGAGGCCAGGAGAAACAACTGAGATTGATGTTATGCCTTACAGATGCGATGAAAGAATCGAGTGGGATAAGTTTGAACCAGACATGAACTTAAAACGCCCCGCTGAAGATGATACTACAAATTTGAGTTCTTCGTGAGGCGTAAAAGCTAGGCAAAATGAAGTTTTATCAGGACGAATTTGAAAGCATAGCAATATGATGGGAGAAGATAATGATAGGAGGATCGAAACGTGAAAAGTACCCACGAAATCTTCTTTGCTCGGATCTGTGGAGGATTCAATGACGGCATAGCAAGGTAAAGTATTGTAAGCCTAAAAGTTTGATTGGATATTGACTGCTATCTAATAGAATTTAGGACTGAGCACACTATATGTGATGGCGTTTCCGTTCACGATTGCTCACATGGTTATATTTTCCATTGGGCTCCAAACATTCGTATTCTGATTGGGTGTGGACTGAGGTGTTTCTTTTTCGATCCTATCCAAGTTACGGCAGGATATCTCATGACAGCTATATGCCTTTGCTCTCTTTTCTTTTCTTTCCTTCCCTTTTCCTTTCATCGAGTTGTGGGAGGATGCAGGGGCTATAATGAGATCGGTGAGAAAATTGGGTTCGCCGGATTAGTCATTCATTGCTTAGTCATAAGGGCTCCTGTCGCTCGCTTATTTTACTTCTAGTTCTATAATGAGAATTGCTAGGTGCTTATTTATCTGTATTATTGGAGTAATCTGACAGCGGGTGCTATATTCTAACTGTTCTAGGGTTTACGATAAAATGAGTCTAAATCATGCCTAATTCCCACTGCTCCGCATATAATTTAGGCCTAGTCCGAATAACATGCTATAAGCACCCTGTATCTACAGGGTTTCAACCCCCTATAATTTGTTCAAACTGCAGTCGAGCAAAGCGAGGGGAATACGCCGTTCTACTTATTAGTCAAAACAAATTCAATTGCTCAATACAGCCGTAGAACATTTATTTAAAGTCTCTAAAACTTTAATGCCTCGAGTCCGCGACTAGTTGTAGGAGGGCTATAAGACTATAAAATATTGAAATGGCGTTTCTATTTAATAAAATATAACGGTTCAAGTTGAACCTAATTACGCCACAACTACCTTCCTGAAACAAATTTGTACAATAGTCAAAGCGATTCGTAGACGCAGATAATTCGTAAGACTTGTTCCACTCCGACCCTGTCTCGCTTAATGGCTGTCTTAATTTTAGCTTATCACGGTACTTGTGTCACACATTAAATTGATCTTTATTGATTACACATAGTTTCTCTCATCACTCAATGCATTTTTAAAGCTCTATAGAAAATACATTCATTAACAGAATTCGGAGGTAAACAACTTCTTAAGAAAGACATTCTTCGTCTGTGTCTGTTGTATCAAACGCTGCACTAATTATGAAAGGTAGGCCAGCAATAATTCCTCAGTCCCAGCAGCCGACTATCAATTAAGCCAATGGATTAAATATTAAGCTAACTTCTCATCTGCCTGATACATATAATCCCGCAGCGTGCTGACAATCCCAATGCGAATCCAGAACTAAAATTTGCCATAGCAAAAACGTGACAGGAATTAAATGTAGTAACCTAATTTATCGTATTCTTGGCGCGCAACAGCAGACCAAATCATAGGCAATATGTTCTTATATGATTGCGTTCAAATACAACATCCATCATGCGTATTGGTTTCCGTCAATTGTGCAAATCCGCGAGCCACGGAAGGACATGAAAAATAGAGCCGCCGGTATTGACATGATCGTGAATAGATCCGACTATTTTTGTACAACCATGATCCTCTTGCTCAGTATTTAAATACAAGCTCTCGTCATCCGGATGATCCCTGAAAGTTTCCTCGTAGTAGTCGTACTCTGAACCTTCATTTGTACCAGCATGGATATTATCGGCCAAGGGCGACTGGGAGTTGTTGTTATCGACCTGATAAGTTTGTATATAAAACTCGTCGTCTTCGAAAAATGGCAATGCCTCCCAGGCGGTTAGATCCGGGGCTTCGTGTTCCGAATCGGAGTCGTTTGGTAGATCGTCATCATGCTGGAGGTTCGTGCTGTCTTCGGGAATATCATCTTCGTCTTGAACCTCTCCCTGTTCCGAACTATATGTATCAGCAACTGCGACAGCCCATCCAGTGTTTTGCTCAAAGAAATCAGGATAAACGTTAGACATCTCTGATTTTGTCAGAACCGTGATTGCCGGCTCTGGCATCTCCCATTGGATTTCCCAGTCCTTAAGTGCCGTTAGCGGTCTGATTTCAACATCCGGAATGGTATCGCTTAGATCCCATTCAAACAAAAGAGCCCTGGCCTCGAGCATTTCTCGATATTGCCTATCCATATCCTCAACGGCACTTCGAAAATGTAAGAAGAATTTGTCTGTATCTCGCAATTGGTAAGCTATGTCGCACCCTTTGAGCCATAATTCCCTTGGCAAGAGCTCGTAGCGAGCCTTAAAAAGAGCTCCTCCAACGCGAATTGCCGACTTGGTCGATGGATCTAGTTCGCGAGTGAACGACTCGGCGTACTCTTCGAGCAATACTAAAGCTTCAGTATAAGATACTAAGTCGAACGATTCATGGAGATCGAAAGGCAAAAAGATGCCACCATCTCGCTTTTCTAGTTTCACGAAGTCGACCAGTCGATCCGAAGCAGCTCTGACCGCGCAGAATTGATTCTCCAGATACTTAAGGACCTTACTTCGCTCCCGCTTGAAGTGTTTGGTGGTGATAGTTTCACGGTAATCCCATTCTGCCCAATATCTAGCTCTTCCGAGCGTATATTCAAGTGTATGGGCGTTTCCCTTGGGATGGAAAATGCCGTTCCAGAATGGATTCTCCTTCAATTTTATCATGTCGCGGTTCGTTTTATGGACAAAATCATCCGAGCTCATACCCATATCCTTTTTAAACACAGGATCTCTCTCAAAAGTCATTGCGTATCTTTCGAGAGCAGCGAACATTTTTGTGGATAGCTCAACTTCCGTGTTTCCCCTCGCTAGTTTAATCAAATGTTTTCTATAAACCGACGAAGGTAGTATCGATTGCGTTACCAGTGGATGAACATGCCAATCGTCGCTGCATATGAAGTCCGGCATTTCGGCAATGTTTGCGGTTCGTATCGTTACTTTGGGGACGTTGCGTAGTAGCTCAAGGGGAAATAGACTGCGTTGCAGCTCACTCGGATCTGTACAAAAGAACAGCTTGTCAGAGTTTACTAGACCTAAAAAGTTCGAAGAGAAAAAAACACTGCTTACCTGGATATCCATCGCGTTCCAAGCCATTGGGAATGATGACTACCTCTAGCTCTTTCAATATCCTCGTGCGAGCTTGAAACTCACACAACAATCGACAAAATGCTCGAAGCTCGTATCGGCTGCGCGGTTCGAAATCTTGTGTATAGGGAAAATACATTGCATTCAGAACTATCTTCCATCTTCTGACGTGTTGTAAAGCTGGGACGTTCATCAATAGAGACTTCCAAACAGTGCCGGTCTTTGCCACATTTCCGTCAGCTGGGTCTTGCCGTCTAGTTATGGGGCTGCATGCAGTTAGAGGAAGGAAGTCATCTAAGGACGGTAGTCGAATGTCCTGGAGGGACTCAATTATAAAGGTATTGGATCCGTAGAGAACCTCCATTCCTTCCTTATGGAACTTTTTGCAAACGAGAAGCAACGCTGGGCTCAGGCCATACCGCACGTTGCCTCCGTATGCTTTGCTTTGAGATATGGCGGATGCTTCTCCCAGTTCAGGATTAATTAGCAAATAGCCGAATATTTGCTTGCGTAGTTCTGCTGGTATAGATTGCAGGGTGTGTTCTTGATCAGGGCGAGAGCGCGATGACAACAGTTGTTCCAGCTTTCTCAGGACATCGTTGATGTGAGACTTTAGTTCCCCAAGTGAGGTCTCAGTTGACTCCGATGCCATTGCTCCAATAGCTTTCTGCTTGAATACATCCCACAGTTGGTCTTTCGCTTGATCTAAGGTCATTTCTCCTATTTCTTGTTTGCTGAATATTTCCCAGAAAGCTTGATCGCTAATTGAGTTCATTTTCACAAACTAATGGAGTAATGAGCCACTGTTGTTGAAAAATGGAAATTCTAAATCCATGCGCCTGTGTTGTAGTCTCTTGTCGGTATTGTGCAGTTCTCTCACTAACACGAATACAAGCTAGATGGTCTGATGAAATGCCTTTTCCAGGGTTGTGTAAAGTTTGTTCTTGTGTTGTAGGAAGAGGAGTAGGGTTTTCTTGTAATAAAAAACAATGTTAGCATTAACCAATTTGCCAGATGACTCTGAGCAAGTCTGCTGAAAGTATGTGTTTTGTAGAAACTTGGAACTTGATTGGGATATATAATAGGAATGAATGGGCTTAAAGTACCAGTTCAACAAGCTTACAGTCAGCTGTAGTTCTCTGCCGTATTCAACTACCTAATATAAAGTGACCACTTATAGTTGCGATGCCTTAAGTGTTATATATGTCTTGAATTCATTAAGTTGAAAAATTGGCCGAGTACAGTAGTTGTGAAACAAATTCTTCTGCACCTCAACTTGCTCGAACAATTCAGAAACTTTAGCAAGGGACTAGTATCATAACCTTACAATCAGCATCGACTATATAAGTGAAAAAAAAATTAATAAGCGAGGTATTGTTATACAGTAGAGGGTAGTATCCGGTAGTTGGTAGCTTCATCTTTTCTCAATCTTAGTGTTATGATCTAAACAAATCTACTGTAATTCCCACCAACCCTCCAGTCTCAAAAGTTTTCCAGTTCACATCCACAACAAATTTCACACTATCCTACCAAGTTTGTTAAACTTCAAAGACAAATAGTCTGCATCTTGTATCACAACAATCATTTTGTGGTCAATTTATCAACACCTTATTAACAATTTGTCAACAAGTTGAAGGATTGGTTACCCCAAGACTGATATATGTGAGTCATATAGATCCCATTATAGATCGAAAAGAGAAGTGGCCTAGAAGTACAAAGAAATATCTACTGATACCTTGATTTTAGATGACACCCATCACGAAAGATTTCCAGTCTACGAAATTGTCCCGAAGGACTTCACAACAAACTGAAAAAAATCAGATCTTCCAACACAAAATACCACTTCTTTTTATGAAGATGCAGCAGGACCTGCCGCTATCGTCATTCGATCAAGATATGCATTCGGAGTCTACCACCAGCCCTTCAAACAATATGATCGAGTCCCACACCCCTAAACTCCATCTCCTCACGATCCCACGCGAGATTCAACAAGAGATTTACTCATATCTTCTTGTTAACCCCATTCTAGGGAAGGCAGCTTCAGTCTCGGCGGCAACCGACTTTGGCAGTTCCCAGGCATACGATCTACACACCAATATTCTTTACGTGTGTAAGAGAACATACCAGGAAGGTATCTTGACCTTGTACGGCAACCCCATTTTCATGGACTGCAGCAAAAGTCCGGGTATTTGGGAACTTCAAAACGGCACCGATCAAGAGCTTATATATGACCACGAAGATTTTGAAAATGGAATTGAGGAGCCTAACATCATAAATTTGTGCCCACTGACCCGGTACACAAATAATGAGCCGAAGGAGCATGTCGCCAAGCCGCCATTTCGTAACACTCCAGCCGTTCAGCATGTGAAAAGCTGGAATGTCCTCTTGTCCGCTATCGATAGAACGTATTGGAGCTCGGATCCTTTTGCCGAGTTCTGCGTTGCATTGCATCCACATTCGGGAATCTCGCTGGAACTGTCTGTCTTACCCATGGGCTTTATCTGCCAGCACGTCAATCCGCCTGACATAGTAACTCAAGATCAAGATGTTGGACAGGTCAATAATCTCTTGCCTTTGAAAATGCTCCGAAACATCAAGAATCTTGTTTTCAAGACTGCCGAAGTCGATTCGATCCCAGACTACTGCTACGGCATAGATAATGAAGAGACCGACTTGAGCGTACCTGATCTTCCATCGCCAGAGCTCATGGAGGAGTACTACAAGCTCACGAGTGGAGAAGCTCCAGTGATTGAATGTGTGGGTCGCATGTGGGACAAACTTTTGCAGTGTGTCTCCACTTTCGAGCGTGCTAAACTGCACATCAGCGACGGGACTTGCGGTATCCATTATCGTGGTTTCAGATTTCATGACGTACGAACACCGAGTAATTTGGCGGTTAATGATATACCAAGCCACCCAGATATCCCTCATTCATTGGCAGAGGACCCAAACTATCGAGGTGCAAGAGCAATAGCCGATACCACAGTCTCTTCATCTCTCGAACACACCGAATCTACCGAAGATGTCGTCCATTTTAAACAATACCGACGCCAGCTCCTTGAGACTCTCGAGCCTCAGTACCAACGGATTCGAAGATGTGCCACTAAAATCCGAGAGTACTTGCAACATGAAAATGGGCCGAATGGGATTTTTGTGATCCGTCCTTCCAGTGTCGACGATCGGAAACAATACTGGGACAGGATCGCAAAAGGTATTGATCTTTTGGAGGAATACGAATACTCATTTATAAGAAGTCTCACAGAGGAGGTCCAGCTTTCCATACAAAAACAAAATAAGTTCATAGTACTGAAGTACAAGTTTCTTAATAGTGAACTGTTGATGCATAGTGTCGCCTGGGCTTATAAGAAAGGGATATGGAGAGCAGTTACAGAATGGTATAAGCTGGCCGTTGCATGCATGGAAAAGCAATTTTTCAAATTGCAATGGTGTAGGATGGATCTATTCATGTGGGATGTCTTAGACAACAAGGATGTTGATATGATTATTCAGCCCGAGGTATATGAGGAGACTGTCTTCAGGAAAGAGCAGATATCGAACAGAAAGCTCGATCTCAACATGATCATGAAGAGAATTGAGGATAAAACCACCGATCTGGATAGTCTCATGCATATCCTCATGTCACTTGAAATTGACATTATCGATGGGGGTAGCGACGACGAGAATAGAGACGATGAGGATAGCGATGGCAGTGACGATCCAGTCGCCAATGAAGGTCTCGAAGGCTCTTCTGAGAATGACGAAGCTAGTTCTGCAGGGGATATCGGATCATGAATGTTTAATAGCTGGATAGGCCAGGTCTGTTTTAGCAAGTCACAAAACATCATTCAATAGCATTTAGGTCTACTAATACATTTCAACCTTCAAATTGAGTTCAATCACACACAGTTTTGCTTGCCGATCGAATTACTGACATCGGTCTTTACTTCCCGCTATGTCATACTTATGTGACACTGAACGTGACTTTTGATCCTAAGTAGAAGTTTTTTAAGCCCGTAGTTTCAAGCAACTTGTCAGAAAAGCAACAAGTTCTCAATTCAATTACATCATTACGCCCTTTTGTAAGGCATCCACCTAAGTGAGTGCTTGGCGTGCCTTCACATCCGCAATTGGTCAGCTCAAAGTTTGATCAGCTACGAAAGAAGCATATCGCTTCCAAACCCATAAGTATTCTTTTTGCAGCCACAATGTATAGGCTTCTTCAAACAAGCAGTTTGTTTTGCAGCAATCAAGGAAAGTAAGATGGGCTTATACAATCCACTTTTCAACACACAAATCATCAGTTAACACAATCTCTAATCCTTTCGGATACAATATTTAAATAAGCCGCCTAACATTAACATACGAGGTAGCCGAAGTCATCAGCTTCAGATCCTATGTTTTTCATTTATCTGACAAGTAATCATACAAATATTTGCCTATCTAATATTTGCGTCTCAAATTCGATTACAAGAAGATATAGATTAGCTATCAGGCCTTATTTTATTGCTTCACATCTCGCAGGTTGACCTAAAAATGGATTGTCAGAACTAGGCACGCGCTAGAAATTACTCGAGTACTTCTGATTATTTTCCAACTTGATCACCGGACAAAGACGACGATACAATAGCCTCAGAAATGTCGCGAATTCAACAGACCTTTACATAGATCTATAACGGAGAAAAGGCTATATATTTAGATTTGGAGAGTGTAGAGACATAAAATCGTCTATCAAGCATGCGCGACTTTAAAAGCCGACTAGCCATAATTTCTATTCTAGGCAGCCGCAAGTTTGAGGTCATTGAGAAAACGGTATTCTCTGGTATAAATGGTAAAAGAAATGAAGGTACGGAAAAGATTGAACTGGAAAGTATCCCCTAATATAAAACATATATTCGACCAGTCATCTTGAGAAGTTGAGAGCCCGTTGCCAATCGAAGATAGATTGAAGCCCTCTAGCTAACCACACAGTTAGTCACCGCTAAGAATATATTCTTTAAAAATAAAGCTAGGAAAATGATCCGAGGGCATTTTTGGATCTGAAAGTAAGTACTCGAAGAAGCTCCGAGACAGAGGTTATTATTGTATCAAAATATTCGTTCCTTGTAGAATGGGAAGGATAAATCATACGAAGAAGTCTATAGAAAAGGGAATATACAAAATTATTAGTTTTAATCCACAACAGTAATTACAACTAAGACTTTGTACTTCTATCTGCCCATCTTGGAACCATGCCATCTAATTCAGGTATAGTCGGCTGATAGGCTAGCGACGAAATTCCCCTAGATGTGTCCATAAAATGCTGTCATGAAAGTGAGAATAGCAGAATAGCGCCCCAGGGGTAACGCAAAAACTACGAGACGAGACGATATCAGGAAATTTGATTTGGCCATACTGTAAACCCACTAGATTTCCGTCTAGCATGCATCGAAAATGTACACAAAATATTACCGACACCCGCAAAAGTTCGTCTTTTGATGTTAAATACGCAACTTTGAGTACAAGTGCACTACAGCTCATGCAATGCAGTTCGCTAGCATTGTTATCCCCTTAGTATCTTTGTCCGAACATCTAAACTCTTTCATATTGAATGCGTTCACGCGATACGTCTCATACAATACAGATCGCTAGACTTTAGCCTCTCAGTATTCTTGCGTTGCGACTAGAACGCTCTAGACTCCGCGTCCTGTTGAATTTTTCCCCCAACATCTATTCTTTAAACAATCATAACAACCACCAGAGATGTAAGAAACGGAAATAGAAATGAATAGAACATCTCATGCCGTGCACCACGACTGCCCAGTCTTGTCAGCGTTTTTGCTAAACTACTTAAACGCTCTATATTTCAGTGTCTAATCGGCCACTTCTTACAACTTCTGATTCTTACGCAACCATATCAAGAGCCCATAGCAAACGATACCCAAACGAATAGGACATCCAGTATCAAACAAGAACTCATCTTGACGTCGCATTGAACGATCATTTTGATCCTGGACAAAATCCCGGGAGCATCTTTGCCGAATAGGACAGTGGAGCATACCACTTCACTGCGATACCAACATGGTAAGAAGTTTTATTGTGCACTTACACAACATCCAGCATCCATCATAACATCATATCATCTACCCAAACGCATCGCGTACTCCACTACCAACACACCAGCTAACAAGATATCATGCAGGATCCGGGACCAGATTCCCAAGTGAAGCTTTGCACTTCATGGCTTCGTAGTGGCAGAAAAAGGTATGTCAACAAAGCTTCAGAGAACTGTCTCGCGTATGAAAAGGTTATTCCGATTGACCCAAACGCTAGACCCGGCATTCCCTCTCGCAATTCAAAGAACCACCTACTCAACATTCCACGAGAGATCCGCGACGAAATCAACAAGTACCTTCTTACCAACCCGATTCTTGGGAAAGGCAGTTCGGTAACCATGATAGCGAAACCTAGGCAACCTTCGTGGATAAAAGTCGTTACTTCACCCAAATATGATTTGCATCCCGCAGTCCTCCGTGTCTGTAAGCAAATGTACCAGGAAGGCTTGCATATTTTGTACGAACGCAACGTATTTTTCATGGATTGTACAAATTGGATGTATCGGGGAGGTGCTCCAAAACGCTTATGGAAGCACAAGTCGAACAGAGTCACGGACAAGTTCCCCGTTACAAATACTCTGAATGTCACTCCCCTTACTCGGTACTCCAAACACCAGAATGTCAGCCCCACTGATGAAAACTGGATATGGGAGGGAGACCAATGGTTCCTTGAACAGCCACCTTTGAGTCGCCTTGTTGGTCCTCAGGCCAGCTATGTCAGACAATGGAAAGTCATTGTTAGAGGAGGAGTCTGGACTTCCTACCATAAGTTTGATAGATCTGCTTTGGCGCAGTTCTATCATGCTGTCTGTCAACGTTCAGGGCTTTCTCTATCTTTCTTTATTTGTCAAGACAAGATCTCAAGAACAGGTCACGGTCCCACAGAGCATTTGGATTTTGACGAAATATTCTTTCCGCTCAAGGTGCTCCGGAATGTGGACAAAGTAGAATTTTGGGAAGCATATGCTAGTTCTGAGAAGGTCGTAGGAGGTGGAGAGATTTCAGAGGAAGTTCCCGGGTACTTTAACAAGATCTATCGAGTGGCTAATGACTCTGCTACTGCTCTCACGTCAGGATCGCTCGCGGAAAAGTACACGTCCTTGATGAAAGGGTCGTCGCCATTGGTCGATCCTATTCATCTCATGTGTGACTACCTTCTAGCATACGCCCAAACTTTCGAGCGCGTTGCTGAATTTAGAAAGGATATGGATGTGGGTACGGAGTGGAATAAGGTGTTTTTCAAAGGCACGACTAATCAATATAAGCAACCATACTATGCGAGTGAAAACCTTCTTCGGCAAGCACGAGAAGCAGCCTTTTTAAATAGAACTGACCATTTTAGAAGTCTGCGGGAGCAATTGTTACTTCATCTCGAAAAGCAGTACCAAAAAATCAATGAATGCTTCTTCGTACGATTGTATGACTTCATCAAGACGGACAAGCTCTTCCGAGGAATTCTGTGGTCAGGAAGTTTTTATAAAGTTGCTTATGGATGTCATGGTCGCACGTTGAATTTAAAAACACACCAGCGTGTGAAACCAAGTCTGCAAAAGTCGGTCACCGAAAGTCTCATCTTGCTAGAGGATTGTGCCGCTTCCTTCACAAGAAGTACGACTACGACCGATTTACCTTCCAAGTTACGTATTGTATATCGTCTTTATGGCGCCACTCAGCTTTATCAAGCGTTGCCAAGAGAACAATTAATGCGACGAGTCCAGGATGCTTATGTTTCCTTGGATTACACTTCCTTTCTTCAATATTTCAAGGAGGCCGTGGATGATATGTATGCACAGCATAGTGAGATTCGAGAGGCGAGAAAGAAGTTATTCCAATGGGATACAGGTCGTGCTGTTAGAGAAATTGATATCAACGATGGAGGTTTCGAGGCTATCATCTGGGATGAGCTAGAGCCTGTGGAGTGGACTAATTTCGAACGGACTGTTGCCGGATTGGAACACCACAGCGAGTCGGAGGACCGGCGGGTGGCAATTTCAAAACGAAAGCGACCATACTAAAAGTGGTGAAGGGATGTCTCTATAAGGACTACCAAGGTGAACGGATTGTGCAGAGATTTAGGACCTCTCTTGCCATGGAGAACTTCTCCAGAGATATGATTTCGAAGCGAGCCTTTGTATAATGTAAATATGAGAAATTAGGACGAACCATGTCACTTCCACAGTAAGAACGGTTGATACACTTGATGGCTGTATGAAATGAATGAAGGGTGATATGAGAATGCAAAAAGATGATTGATTTTAAGAACTCCTCCTCGCTGTTGTCGTGAACATAAAGATTACCGAAACATGCGCTAAGATTACTAAGCAACCTAAGACTCCCTTACCACAAACAAAGAACACCTTCCCTAACCCCATTGACATCAAAAACACCTCTACACCTTATCTGAAATATACCTTCATCAAACCTATATAATCATGTCATAAAGCATCTCTACTCCTCACAAAATTCAAATATCTGTCCTTAGTCCACCTTCTGCAGCTCTTCCCAAAGACCATCATTGGCCATGTACACATAACGAATACAAAATCCAGGACTCCAATCGCAATGAATGTCTGTTTGACTCCTGTATCCAACCAATAACTTGCTGCAAATGTGAAGATGCATCCGATTGTGTTGTTTATGACACTAACTCCCACCATGCCCTCGAGTACCATTTCGGGATATGCGTCCATGAGATAAGACATGGACAAATCTCCCGCACAACCCCATCCAAAACCGATGAATCCAAGTCCTACATATGGAGCTGGCCATGACCATTCATACGCTGTACCAAGACCGAAAATAAACATCCCCATCGGCGAGAAAATTGCACATGGGTACATCATCCAAAGACGATCTTCAGCTTCCAGTATACCATGGCGATATTTCTTAGAATACCAAAGTACGAAGACGTCGGAAAGGTAGCCACCCCAAAAACAACCGATTATGGCGCCGATTAAACAAGGGACGTTCATGAGACCGGAGCCAATAGTGGAATAGTTCCAAGGAGCGTAGGTCCAATTATCTTCTTCGAGGGTAAGGTAAAAGGTAAGCCAGGCGTCTTGAGCACCCCATTGCAGACCGCTGTACCAGACGGCCGGGAAGGAGAAAATGCGCAGGGTGTGGAAGAGACGAGAGAAGTATTGTTTGAAACCGGTTCCTTTGATATTAGATGCGGGGGTAATTAGTTGGATGCGTTCGCGGAAGGGTTTTTGGGCGGGTGTGGAACAAAGCGGAATAGGGGGCGTGTCGGAGGGGGATGCAGCTAAAGCTGTTTCTTTTTCGTTGCTGTTGCGGAGCTGGGGTTCCTCAATCTTTACTTGTGAGTCGAAACCATTGATTGGGACTTCGTATGCAGATTCGGGTCGATCGAACATTGTTTCTTCGAGGGTAAAGTAGCAAACCAAGATGGTACAAGAGGAAATTATGACAGACCACCAACCAATCCATCGCCAGCCCAAAGGTCCCCCAGCAATATATCCAGCAATGATAGGGCCCAAGTAGGTACCGATGCTAGTCGCCAAAACATAAATACCTAGGACAGTGCCTCTTTGATGTTGAAAGAACAAATCCGAGAGAGAAAGCTGCACATTGGCCTCGGCACAAGCTTCAGATGCTCCCACGAAAAGCTGATTCCAGATCGAGTCTCTTGTGGATTGCACACGAGCGAACCATATAGCACCAATAACCCCCAATGACAAACAAATGATATATGTGACCCTTCTTCCGTATAACCACGCAGCGGGCGAGATCAACAAAGTCCAATAACCAATTCCTACAAACAAAACACCAGCCCCGGTATTCATCGCATCGTATGTAATTCCATATTCCGCATTCATGCCATCTTGCGCCGAGCCCGCATCGTTCGCAGTAGCAGCCGTCAGGCCCGTAATAAAACAAACGAGGAAAACATGCCAATATTTTCGTGCACGAGACCAATTGAGCGGATCGAGAGGTGAGGAGGTAGGCTGGGGTTCGAGGACGATATTTCCGTGTTTGAGAAGGTGGGAATTTGTAGCTTGTTCGTGATCCTCTACTAGTCGTGTGGTGCCTGGAAGAAAGTTTTCATCATGCACATAAGTTGAGTCCATCGCGAATGGCGATATCTAAATCGTGGTAAGAACCACGACACGAGGGCGACCTGATCTTTGCGGGTAGTCAATGATTGACTGATGAAGATTTGCAATAATGAATACGAAGTGAGAGAGAGTGAAGAAAAATATTGTATTGGACAAGCAAGGCCTAAGGTAAACTGACGGAAGTGCTAGAAAATCGTTGGAAAATTAGCATAAAGTTATAAGAATTTCCACTTGGATTTCTTATCTGTGTGGTTCCCACATTTTCATTATGAGATGAAAACTTTTTAGGATTAGCAATTAAACAGAATTTGTGTGTTCGATAAGACGATCGATCATTGGAGTCTCTTCGTCTTTTACCGTGGTGTGCGCTGCAACCTTGATGAATGAAGTTCCTAAACCTGGGGTTAAAAATCAACGGGAGAGAGGCAGAGATCAGGGAGTGAGATCTGCAACTGGTGAATACATGTGTTTGTTTGTATTCCTCCGACTTATCAAGATTAACATTGGATTAAAAACAAAGCATAGGAGGTTCGTTATCTGAATGATAAGTTTGAATAGCGGGTTAGTCTTAGGGCTTGATCAATTGCCTGGATTATCCAGGTGGAGCTTAATCAACAGGCTGGGTTGGCCCTGAAGAAGAGGTGGACTTGACGGGACGATACTTACCGATAGCTTGATTGAAATTCATCGCGAGAATGGTAGTGATCCATGTTCTAGCCGCCTGTCACACTGCAACTACTTAGTACTAGCCAGCCACTTGCCACTCTTGTCATGTGTCATCGTCTGGGCATCAATGTGGTTCGGTCAATCAGAATTCACGGCTTTCTTCATTTCTCGGTTATCTCTCCTTCATTTCCCTCCTGGTCTTTCTTGTTCATCTACACCCCGAAAACCTGAATCAAGCTGATCATCCGGCCATTTAAACCCTATCAATTCGTACTGCTTGTAATTACTATCTTCAGCTTAGAACTTATGATATAACGGAAGGACCCTGAACTTTCTTCTCCCACTTTACCGCATGGAGTTACCCAAATCGGCTTTTGTGAATAAACACGATAAGAAAATACTCGAGTACATTGGTTTGTTTGTATGAACGATAAGACATTCAATCTCTAACCCTCTAATCTCCAATCTCCAATATCCCTCTAATTCAACACAACGCCAACCCGAAAGCAATCAATTCTGCCAACTAGTTGGATCTCGGGAGAACATATCAAAACCCAAGTTCATCCCGCGTCCACTGAGATATCATGATTACTGTCAGGTGGACGAACAGTGCATTTATCGCTCAGACTCCACCGTTGCAAAGGAATGGGACCTGTCTTGATTTATCTTCGAATACAGTCATGAAATGAGGGGATTCAAAGACAGATATAATCCCTTCCTGTCTCGGATTTATGGTGGTGACTTAAAGAATGCCAGATGGGTTTCGTTGTCAGGAACCCATCAACCCAATTAAGTGGATCATATGACCCACGGGCAGTTCAAGTATATTTTACATCTCTCGTCTCATCTCCTTTTGCATCTTTTCTTCTCTTCTCTTGACTTCACCAACAACTTAATACTCTAGAGGTTCTCATCCAAAGAATCTCTGATTGCTAAAATCGTACGGCATATATTTACAATTGACCCGAGTTAACAGTTTCGCGAATCCATTGAACTACAACAACTTTCGCAACTTCTCTCAATACCTATAGACCAGCATCTTTGCTATTTTGTACCGTCCACTTCCTCATCGTCGACTTTGAACTACACAGCTCCCCGAGCCTAATTCACTACACCTTCCAGTTTTCAAACATACGCAGATGTTGAGTCAATATGTCAACCTTATCCATATCTCCTCTTGGCGCTCTAAATCTAAACGAGACAAACCGTCCATATCAAGTAATTACCGCGCCATTGCCAATCCAGAACTCAAAACCATTGATCTGGACAACAGGACTTGAGAGTCCCGACAATTATGGCAATGGCGTGAAAAAGGCCCACGTAATTATCGTGGGTGCCGGTATTTCCGGCTTACGTGCAGCATCCGTCCTACAACGCCATGGAGTTGGTGTTACAATCTTGGAAGGACGCCCAGATCGAATCGGTGGTCGAATTCACACCAGTCGCAAATCTCTAAACGGAAAAGCTCGAGACATTGGTAAATACACCTGACCTAATAGGCAGAACAATATCTTCCGTTGTGGGTGGTTGGGACTATGGTCTTGACCACACAATGTGGGTTGTTTATCCTTTCCCCCGACAAAAGTGTGCTTACTTTATATACAGGTGCTGCATGGATGCATGAAACTTCGCAGAATAAACTGGTTCAGTTAATCAAGAGGCTTGATATCGAGTACTATTATGATGACGGTACACCTTTGTACTTTACCAAGGAAGGAAGAGCAGGATCACAGTTCAAGGCCAAGAAAGTAGCTGATGAATTTGCTGACTACTGTGAGCACTACTTTGAAACCCATCCACATGCTCCTGATCGCTCTGTAAAAGAGTTCATTCTTGACTTCGTAGAGAATCATCCTTTGATCACTAACACTGAACGCAAATGGGCTCCACAAGCCATTCGTGAGGTTGAACTTGTAAGATGTCCCAATACTCCAGATTATAATTTAGAACTAACTCAATAATTGTAGTGGATTGGTACATCCATTGAGGAAGCTTCTTCTAAATACTTAAGTTACTTCGTAACCGAAAGAAATCTATACATGAAAGGTGGATATGACAAAATCATCAACTGGACCGCCAAACCACTTCTCAAGGATCCTGAGACCATCAAAATGGGTGAAGTTGTCAAGAATATCCAATGGGGTAACGAAGACAACTCAGTGGTAGTTGAGACTCTGAAGGGCGACAAAAGATCTACCTTCAAAGCCGATGCCATAGTTGTAACAGCACCTCTTGGTTGCTTGAGAAACAAGATGATCAACTTCGAGCCTGCTCTTCCCGAAGACATTCAGGAGGGTATTGATAACTTTTCTTATGGAGCCCTTGGAAAGGTTTTTGTGGAATTCGACGAGGTCTTCTGGCCCAAGGACAACGATCAGTTTATCTACTATCCTTCCCCTCTTCCGGAAGGTACCCCAGTTGATGAGTAAGCATGTCTCTAACTTGACTCACCGATTCCTAAGACTAATTGCGAATAGATCTTCCATCCTGTCCTATGCTACTGTCACTTCCAATTGTTGGATCATGTCCGGTACCAAGGAACTCTGCATCCAGATTGCTGAGCCACTCACACAACGCATCGAAGCTATGACGTCGACCCAAGGAATTTACGACTTCTTTGAGCCTCTCTTCAAACTCATGCGCACCGAACCTTACAAGGACCTTCCAGACTTCCTCAACCTCGAAACCACCCACTGGACCCAGGACCCACTTGCAGGATTTGGATCCTATTCCGTCGAGAAGACCGGCGATGAATCCGAGCTTCTAATCGAAGCCCTCGAGAATCACAACAGAAGCCGCCTTCAATTCGCCGGTGAACATTGCACGATAGTCGGAAATGGCTGCGTGCACGGAGCATTTGAAACGGGAGAGATTGCTGCTAGGAATCTCTTGGAGACATTGGGCGTGGTATATGATGGAAATGATACCACGGCTCGAAGTGTCTCCCCTTGAGCGTAAGCGATTTTTGTGTCTAAGAGGTGAGATGAGATGTGCTGATGACTTGAACCTGCTACGTACCCTTAACTGGCTTTCGTAAGACTTGTTAGTTTTTGACTTTTTTGTTTTTTTGCTTTTAGTTATATCGTCATTGTTACAGTCTTTACCGTCAACTTTGCTCCTGCTATTTCACTTGCTATTAGTCATATCAATTAACACATATATTGCGATACAAATTTGCTTGGTCGCGCTGCTGTTAATTCTTTGTGATTTTTCACGTGTCCGCCTCGACTGCATATCCGAGGACCGGACTGGATCGCAAGAGGGGTTAGTACTTTCTGTGCATTACAAGCCTATCGTCGGTATCCTCCGTCTCCCTTTCCCTCATCAATCAAATTTTCGCCTCTGAGAACACAACCATAGACTTGTACTATATCTCGCCAATGATCCTCGACTCTATCACGCCACACATCATCTCATGCGACAGACAAGCCTTTTACACTTGAAGGTCTAAATTTCGAATGCCAAGGTCATATAAGTTTCCAGGCCAGTCTTTCTGTGTCAAGGTACTCGAATACGCCCATGAAGTAAACGGGAATTTCGACATCCTTTTGTTACAACCAGGTGGACGTAACATAGTAGCTATCTATAGAGCTAGTACATCTGTAGACAAACTGTCAAAGAATGAGAAATGTGTCTTGTGATGTCTAGAATGCGTTCGTATCATTGGCTTGGTCATTATGAATGCTTTGTTATTCGACTTCCAATATCTCTCACGGGTATCCCGAATATCGAAGTTACAAGCGAAGTACTTGATTTTGATTGGAAGCCCTCAATTATCAATAAGATTTGTTCGTCCATTTATATGTCTTTTCCCTTCCGTTTTCTTTGTTCAATGAAGTTTCCTCAGAGTCTTGGGAAATGCCGGATTGGGATTACTCCCCGTCACGTGCCGTTGATGGATGTCAAGTCTTGAGGTAAGATTTGGATTGCACACAAAGCTACACAAAAGGAGTTCTTACAAAATTGCCGCGCTATCCGTAGTGAGGTTAAATTTGTCTGTCTTTATACTTTATTATTAGTTTTTCAATGTTGCGTGCCCCAGGTGATTAAGTGTTTGTTCGGGCCCTTTTCTACTCTTTGATACTTGATATTTTCTTTTCACCCCTGCCATTAATCAAACACAACTCATCATTTTGACCATTCTAACCAAATTATCAAGAAGCTATCCAGTTTGGTGTTTACATTTTATTGTATGTCCAAACTATGCTCCTCCCTCTTGATTATCTTCCACTATAACCAATAAAACACCCAAGCAATCGACCCAACACCACGCATACCTACCACAGCCATGCTCATCTCGCGCGCCGATCACTCCCAGAATATCTCCCCAGTCGAGGGGCAGGCCCTGGCCAACCTTCCCTACTCAGTCCTCGCCACCATCCCCGCTCTTCAACCTCCGCCGGGCGAAGTCTCCAACTTCACCAATCCCGCCAGCACCCGCCACATCCTCATCATCGCCTCCTGCATCGGCATCTTCGTCATGCTCCTCTGCACCACCATCCGTGTCTGGACCGTCCTCTTTATCGTTCGCAAATTGGCTTGGAGCGACCTCACATATAGCTTTGCCATCCTCGCCGCCACCAGCGCATTCGTGGTCAGCATCTTCACGGTCACCGGCGCCGCCCAAGTCGGACATCACCAATGGGACGCTCCCCTCTCCTTGATTTTTACCAAGAGAAATATTGTTCCCACCGCGCTTTCAAGTGTGTTCACACCCATTGCGTTGGGCCTCATCAAAATCACCATTTTCCTAACCTATATCGAAATCTTCTCGAATATGCCTTGGGTATATATATCCTGTTATGTAGGGGCGGCCATTACCGGGCTTTTCTATCTAGGCATGGCGCTCGCATCGTTTATTTTGGGGTTCCCGCATGGCAGCGAAACGTGGGTTTCGCATATCTTCTCGCGCAATGGGTTTCGTTCGAATATCACCAGTGTGCCGACGGCCAGCGTGGGGCTCGCGATAGATATTTATCTGTTTGTGGTGCCGCTGATTGCGGTTAGTGGGTTGAAGATGCAGCGAAAAAAGAAGGTAGGCGTGGGGTTGATCTTTACCACGGGAGTTTTGTGAGTTTTCCTTTATTTCTTTCTATCTTTTTATCTTTTCCCCCTATTTTCAAAATGTACCTGGTATAAAGTAGGAAAGTTTGCACAGTGAGAAAAATACTAATAAAGCACAATGCAACAGAGCAATCATTGCCTCAATCTTCAGCATCTACTATCGCAGGAACTTGTACCGAAACGGCGATGTCGTGTGGAATCTGGTACCCTTGTTTTCAGTGACAATTATCGAGGTATTTATTGGTCTCATTGTGGCTTGTACATGGCACTTCTCAAAGTTTCTGCGAACATATGAGAGTAAGTTTGCGAGGGTGGGGCATTCGGTGGCTAGGCTTGTGTGTGGGTGTGGGGGTTTATTGGGAGGGAGGACGAAATATGGAAGGAGGAGTGGCGGGAAGGCAAGTGAGAGTAGTGAGGGTAGTGGGCATGGGAGTGCGATTGCGATGGCGCCGTGTGTATCCGATGAGAAAGATAGGGGGAGTAGTAGAGGACGTAATCTTTATCCGGATTTGGATTTTACGGAGAATAGGGGCACGGTGGTGGGTGGGTCGGTGTGGGAGAGGACGATGTTGGGGAGTATGCCTGAGGAGGATGTTGAGGGGGGTAGAAGGGATGTTATGGGTTCGAAATGAAGATGAGAGGATGGAGGGAAGGGAAGAGTGAGGGAGAGGTTGTTGGTGATGTAGGAGAGAGTGTGAGAGAGACAGAGAGAGAGAGAGAAAAAAGTGTTTTGGGAATAGTTCATTGATTCATTGGTTTGTTTATGTGTTATTCATGGAGGGAGATTTTGTGTATCATTATGATCATTACTATTACTGTTTCATAAAAGGAATGATAAATTGCAATAAATAGAAAAAATACCAACAAGTATAATACCCTTCTTTTAAGCTAATTTAGCTTAAATCCTCACCCCTTTGATCAAGTTATAATAAGGCTGTAAATTATAAGTTATAGTGTGACAAAAGTTGCGTTACATACTCGTATGGCTTCGCCTAATCTACTAAGCAATCGCACAAGGCTCTCCTCTCTCTCTTCTCTCTCTTAGTTCGCGCAACTCTACTTTATTGTACTATAAATATTTCATAATGTTTCATAATATTTGACCTTTCTCAAGTATTCAATTTAATTAATCAATATCTTTGATATATTTTCTTGTGAGGTGAGATATACTAATAGCTAAGCAGATTACTCGAGTATATGATTAAATGATTTAATAACTTGAAAGTGTATTAATTATCTAATCACAAGCAATACAAGTTGTTTTATACGAGTATTGATTTTTACATTATAATCTTGTGTTATTATATCACTAGGCTATATCACTATATCAGCGATTCTAAGTAGTAAAAATTAGACTATAATCTTATATATATACTCGAGTAGTAAGGGCTAAAGCTCAGTTAGAATTTAGCTGAGAGAAAACGAACGGTACGCGTATTTGAATTGTGAGATATGCAATTACTATAGATTTAAATGAATTAACTAACTGAATAAATAGAACCAAGTTGACTATTTAGTGTTGAATTGATTATATAACTTATTTCTTTGGTGATGTATATGAGATATGCGTGTCAATGTTTTGTTTGAAGTTTTAGTGAGATAGGTACCGGTAAGTGTTATGTGGTTATATTTTATTCGATTTGACTTGACTTCCTAGTACCTACAGAAAACCTTGATTATTTCAAATTTTTGGCTTATTTTGGTTCGGGGTTATTTAATGTATACCGGTATATAAAGAGCTATATTGTATTGTATTCTTATCTACATACTTTATTTCGCCTAATGGGTCATATCATATGCATATATACATCGCATCATCACATCATCATCAAACCATAACCCTCTCCTATCCCTCCTATATAATCCCGCCTCATCAGAAACCCCCAAAATAATCTCCCCATCCCATCTACGGTAAACCCAAAAACAACCTCAACAACTTCGGATAATTCGGCGTCCCCAACCCCGTCGCCGGATCCCAACCCTCCACCGCCGAGAAGCCCTCCGTCCCACATCCCACATTCGTCCCATTAACAATATCATTAAGAACCTCGGGATTTTTATATAGCGCCGGATTCACAAACCCTATTGACCCCTTTCCCACCGCCAATCTCTCTTCATTAATCAACGTCAACACCGATGCGAACAGCGGAGACGCCAGTGAAGATCCGTACCAATGCTCATCGAGCCCACCAAGATACGCGCGGAATTCCGCGCCATTTGCCGAGATATCAGGGTAACCGCGTCCGATGCGATTGTAGATACCGGTGGTTGTGTTGAGGTCCACTTCCAGTTCCGAGTAGTATAGATAGGAGAGTTTGGCGGTTGCGAAATATGTGGCTACGGCTGAGCGTTGGTAGGACGGGATGGGGAAATAGTTGGAGAAGCCTCCTGCGCTGGTGAAGTTGGATGCACTGCCGCCGAGATCAACATGCATGACGGATTCGGCATCGTGGACGGTTTGGTCCGCGTAGAGCATGGTTCCGCCGACGGAGGTTATGTAGGGGCAGTTGCCGGGGTATTGGGGGTTGAAGATGGTGCCTTCGGGACCGAGACAGCCGTTGGTGTTGCCGTCAGCGGGAAATGAAGCGACTCCGTAATCACCGGAGGCGGTGAGGATTGAGTGGCCTTGTAGGCCGAGTTTCATGAATTCGTTGCATTGACGTTTGGTGTAGGCGATGGGGAGATCGGCTTCAGCTTGACCATAGGATGCCGAGATAACTTTGGTGGGTTTGTAGGTTCCACATTGGCGTGTTCCGTTCCATCCACCAGGTTGGGGATCGGGGTACACTGGATCAATTGAAGGATCATCTCCGGTTTGACCATACGCAGTATAGTTGCAGTAAGACTGAGAAGGTTAGCTATAGTCGTACAGTAGAAGTCAATCAACTTACTCCGTCAAGTGCATCAAGGAAGGTATTGAACAAATTAGTGGTTGCGACCTCTTCTGGTTCATATATTTGATCATCGACTTGGTAAAGAGTAACAGTTTGGGGGTAAAGAAGAGCAAAAGCCATATCAATATCGATATTAGATTCACCTCCATTGAGTTTACTGTAGGCAGGGACAGAGAAATTTGCACCGTCAATAAGCGCTGGAATAGGGTAGGTTCCTTGAGGAACCCAAGGAGCGTACTCGGTATAGAAGAGATCGAGATCCGACTTTGCAAAGTAATCTCCTTGTTCATACAATCCGAGGGAATTACCTGAAGCATTCAATGTAGCTGTTGGAATCTTGTACAAGGCTTTGATACAAGTAGGTGTCATATTTGAACCGCAGCCTTGCAAATCGCTGGAAAGATTGGCAGCCGTAGGTGGCGTCCACTGATAATTTTTCGCAGGTGAAGTTGTCTTTGCAAGGCGGTTCTTTCGCTTGGAAAGGTAAGATGTGGATCGCTTGGTCTTTACACTTCTTTTCTTGACGGGTGCAAGCTTGACACCAGGTGTGATATAGTCAATATGTGGGACGAGATGCTCTGGGAGATGGTATCTTGGGGTTAGGTTAGCAAAGAGAACAAATATAAAGATAATTGAACGCACTCATCACATCCAACTCGAACACTTGGGCTATGCTTATGTTCATGCTCATGAAATTCGGCTTGAAGTAAACGTTCAGCTTCTTCAATTGAAGCATCAAATGCTAACCACCCTTTATTTTCGTAATGGGAAATTCGAGAATGATGAATCCCGGAGGAGGTGAGCCAAGATTTGACGGATTTGAGAGTTTCTTCTGGAGGAGCAAACTTGTCGTGAACTTCCTTTGATGACCAATATTTGCCATACTTTGGAGAATCTGGGTCAGATCTGAAAGTTATTAGCGTTAATTGGCTGAATTAAATATGTCTAAAGACAAACTTCGAGTAGCTTACATTTCCATAAGGTATTCATAGCCGTTATCGAGACTGGTTTGGGTCAAACCAATCCGCATTGGCACAATTGCACTTCCTTCAATACGAGAACCCTTGGTCCAATCCGAGGGTGGTGAACTTCGCTTTTCGTGTACGACATGCTTGATTGATGAAGGGGCAGCATTTGCAAGTGCTGCGATGGCAAGAGAGGCAATGGATACTGGCACCAACATCATTGAACTATCGTAACATAAAACAAAGACGTGAAGGATATCATGATGGGGCAGAGGGATATGGTCTATTTAAATCGATCACTGATCGGCAACTTTGTCATATCTCTTGAGATCAAATTTAATCGTACATTAAAAACATGCAGTACTTCCTGCAGCTTCCCATGGCTTGATTTCGGATAAGAATGATAGTGATGGATATCATATATCGCTCAGACACCTAATTAGGAAGGTAGTAGAGCGGGGAGGACAAGGGTTAATTGGTGGGAATAATCTTGTTGTACCTGAAGGAAAAGCTTATCTTTTTGATGGAGAACTCTAATTGCATGATGTATATAAGTAATCGAGGAGGAGGTTCGATTTGACAAGGCCGCACATCATGGAATTAAAGATAGTTGATGCATGCATATATATATATATATATATATATATCAAGAGTTCTGGAAGAGCTGTTCGGGGATAAAGCTCATGATCATTGCATCGTTCCTATTGTATTCTGATTCTGAAATAGCCTGCCCGAGTCAGGTGGAGCCGTCGGACATGTCATCAATGCTTATCCGAAAGCCGTAGCGGTGAATTCTCGTTGTTGTACTCAAGTAGAAGTAGATGATAAGTCACCATCGCATGAGTTCGAATCATGATATATTATATTCCTATACCTAGGGATATTTTAAAATGCCCAACATTTCCCTTCATTTTATTTATTCATTCCATTCACTATATGGTAGATATGTAGCGAAGGACTTTCCGCTGATTTACTGCAATGGCTTAAGCTTGCGGGCGCACCCGAAACCAAAACGACACGAATTAATATCTCGTTGGTGTCTCGAGAATCGTGATATGTCGTGTTAATTCTTGAAAGTTTCAAAAGAGAAGTCTTTGTATACCTAGGTAGCTTCTCAAATATTTCTTATTTCGAAAAGTTGTGGAATTCCGCGTCATGAACACAAACGGGTTAAATCAGAATTGCAACGACCTAGTTTGGCTGTCAATATAAAATAAGACTTCAGTCGCTAAGTCAAATATTCAAACACTCATTATCTTTGATCAATGTCTCCCTCTATATTCACCATTTCGAAATTACTATTGCCTACCGTCGCTCTAGGTTTGGGAATCAAAGTATACCTTAATGACCATCCTCTCTCAGTCGTAAGGACGGCCACCATAAAATCGTACCAAGAGTTATCGCCATCATTTGCGACGAGCTCACAATCTTTTTCATCGATAGTAAATCCAAAGAATCATACAGGGGTTGCTGATTCCTACCAAATTCGATTGACCAAGGCCGAGCTTGGAAATAGCAGTGATGAAGAGATTCTGGCAACATTTACTCGAGGTTTCTTCTCTGGCTGGATCTTCACTCCTGAGAGATATCTTATAGCATCATTGCGATCTCTTGGTTTGAAATTCATACCATGCAAATATACAAGTCAGTATTTTTCATCGTTCCTTTCCTCGGGGTGATACTCAAATAACTACGCAGAAATACCGTCTCCTGGGCCATTATTAGAATTAGGGTCATTATCCAACAAAAAACTACCTCCGAAGTTTTCTCCTTTATTTGGAGGTAATTTTATGGTTCTATTTACCAAAACAGATGCCAATACACTAGAGAACTCTCCCAGTTGCATCGAGATTGGATATGGAGACGATCGCACGCGGTTTTCGGGAATGCATAGTTTTGAGCTCATCCATGAAGGAGGTGAAGCGATAATTTGGTATTCAAGTGTATCATGCAATCCATCTATCAATAAGCGACCATTTCCAGATTGGGTGTTTACTTTTCATCGGTGGTATGCGAAGAGTTTATTTCGAGATGGAGTTGCAGCAGTCTTAAAGTCCGGCTGAAGATATGGTCCGAATGGAGAAGGAGTGCGAATAAAGAGAAGATTGAATGAAGAAGTACGAGAGTCAATTAGCCGTTTGTAAAGTCAAAAGGAAAGGGCCGGTCGACCTGTGAACGTTAATTCTATAGCGTTGATTAGACTTTGCCAGTACCTACGTAGTACATTCTATTTGAGGCAGTCACACCTCAATTATATGTAAAGCTCTCATCTCTCATAAACCAACTTAGCAGGAGCAATGGTACTCACCGAGATGCTTTCCTTTATATTTTCTCGAGCGACTCATGTCTTCATCAAATCTTCCACGACTTTTACACATAGTTCTTGTCACAATTCATCCTTATATATATACCATACAGGATCCTGATCCTCCTTTTGCATTGCACACATTATTAGATATTACTTACAAGATCATTCAAACGAAACCTCAGCATACAACATCATCCTCGAAAAAAAAACACAATATACAAAACCATGGCAGTCATCACTTCAATCTCATCAATCCAAACAGGTCTCGATACTTTCTGGAAGAATAATCTCGGATCCGATGAGATCATTACCAAATGTATGTTCCCTTCCAGTATCATCTTCACACAACTGACCATTTTCAGCACCAAATATCCTTCCCAAACATGTCTACTCAAGAATTTTCGGTGAACACAAGCCTTTGAGCAAGATATCCGGCTGTAGCGTTAACATCTCGTACGATGCCGCCGTCAAAGAATGCGAAGCAAAAGTTGCAGCCATTGTAACAGAATGCCGACGAAACAATACTAAGTACACTGACAATGATTTCGATCTCGATGATATGGATTATTGTTTGAAGCCCTTGACTGTTACGGAGCCGGACACATCAAATAACAGGGAGCACACAGAGCCAGAATCTTCAAGGAGAGCCGACATTACAAGGAATATCATTACCAGAACCAGTAATGTAAAGTCAACTGCTACTAAAGTACGAGAACCTGCTTGTGCAAAGAGAGTAGGAGATATCTTCGAACACCCAAGATTCTTCCTAGATCATGAAGCTCATGTACAGGATATACGACAGGGTTCCGAGGGAGATTGTTGGTTCATATCTTCATTGGGATGTCTGACCGTAGACGAAGCATTCCCCGGACTTATACACAGGCTATGCCCCCGAAATGCTCGAGATGAAGTCATCGGCGTATATGGATTTGTTTTCTATCATGACGGAGAATGGATTTCGGAGGTTATCGATGATAAATTGTACCTCACGAATCCTGATTATGATGATTGTGACGACGATCGAAGATCAGTTTGGGATCATTCTCATGAAAGACTTGACCCTGAAGCTTCGCGTGCGGAATATAAAAAGACGTTTCAAACCGGCTCGGATGCTTTGTTCTTCGGATCTTGTACTGATTCGAATGAGACTTGGGTACCATTGATTGAGAAGGCTTTTGCCAAGGTTCATGGCGATTTTGATTCAATCAACGGAGGCTGGCCTGGGTAAGTACTCCCCTCCTGCACTCAATCTATGCAGTCAATACTAATTGATCACTAGTGAGGGAGTCGAAGATATTACTGGTGGTGTTACTACTGAATTTCTTTCCTCCGCCATTCTCGACAAAGACTTGTTCTGGTCTCAAGGATTCATGAGAATCGGTAAAGATTTTATATTCAGTGCAGGTACAAGAACTTACAATCATCCCGATCCAAACGAACTCGGAAGACAAGGTATTGAGGATGACCATGCATACTCTGTTCTCCGAGCGGTGGAATATCAAGGAAATCGGCTTTGTCTCGTGAAAAATCCTTGGGGAGAAGTCGAATGGAATGGACCATGGTCTGATGGCTCCAAGGAATGGACTCGTGAGGCACTCGATGCCCTGAATCATAGATTTGGTAATGAGGGCATTTTCTGGATGCCTTATGAGGATTTCCTGAATCATTATGTCCAGATCTGGAGAACCAGACTCTTTCATTGGGAATGGTTCAAGTGGAATGTTACCCAACACTGGACGACAGTTAACGTTCCTTGGTCTGGAGAGTGAGTGTCGCTATATCATATTGTCCAAGTGGACTTACAACGATTCCGGTGCTAACAGATATAGTTACAACGAAACCTCCTTCCACTTCACCATCCCCATCCGAACCACAACCATCATTGTCCTTTCCCAACTCGACACCCGCTATTTTGGCGGTCTGACTGGCCAATACATCTACTCCCTCTCATTTCATCTCCACGCCTCCGGGGAGAAAACCCACATTGTCCGCGGCTACTCCAGCGGCGATCGTTCTGCTACCACCGAGATATTCCTCGAGGCAGGTACTTATGAAATATTTCTCCAGATCACTGGTTATCGCGATGCTACGCTTCCCAAGATTGAAGAGGTCGTCAAGCAGAATTGGCTCGATAGGAGAGATAAATTGATTCAGATTGGGCTGAAGCATGATGTGGCACATGCTAAGGGTATTATGCACGATGATTTATCTAAAAAGAAGGATAGAATGTCTCTTACTACTCCTGTCACTCTTAGTACCCCCGATATCCTTACACCTCCTTCTACTCCGGCTGCTACGCCTACTACACCCACTGGCAAAGATGTAATATCTACTACTGAAGATGCCTGGAATGCATCTTGCGTCGTTGGTCTCAAAGTATATACTTATCAAACTATAGCAACGATTGGATTGGGAAAAGCACCGGTAAGTGATGGTGTGGGACTTGGAATTGGCGGGGTTGAAGGGGTTGAAGGGGGAAAGGAACAGGGTATTCGTAAGCTACTCTCTTTACTTGATGATGGTTTTGCGAGTAACTTACGTAAAGTGAAGGTCAAGATGAATAAGAAGAGTTTGAAGATGAAGTGGAAGTTTAGGGATAGGAGGGGGGTGGAAGGGGTGGAGATGGGGATGGGAATTGATATGAGGTTGAGGAATTAGGGAAATGGGTCTTCAGGGATGGGGGGTAGGAAGTGGGAGAAGTCTAAAGTTTGGGAATACAGAAAAGATATGGGGGATAATGAGGCGAAAAGGAGAATGGGGAGAGGGAATGATGAGGATGATGTGAAGTTTGTTGCTGGGACTGTCATGGGATGTATCCATACCTATTGCCTCGTTCACTAGATACCTAGATAACTCATAAAAAGAACGATATTATCTATACTCTGATAGTATTACAAGAGACTTCATTTAATACTGACTTATTGCGTGGCCCAGTAATAATGCCAAGTCCCTAGGTCACCATTGGGGGAAAAGAAGAAATAGTGAGAGAAAGGGATAGGGAATGTGGGACGGAGGATATAAGAGGACAAGACTAGGAAAGGTAGGAGGGAAGAAGTAAGAAAATGAGGAGGGGGATAAAAAGGAAAAATAGGATCAAGAGGAAAGAAGAGAGGGAAAAAACTTAAGGGAATAACAGGCCAAAAAGAGGAACATGAGAGTGAAGGGATGGAAGAGAATGAATAAGGTAGATAAATGGAGATGGATGGATGGATGGATGGAGAAATAAAATGATGAATTGGTTGGGAAAGGGTGTGGAAAAGAGGATGAGGATGAGAATGGGATTATGATGATGATGATGATGATGATGGGAAGTAAGAAGTGGGGAATGGGAAGTGGAGAGGGACTGCTATGGGTGGGATATTGTGATTTGGAGGGGATTTTCTTCAAGATGGGGTTGGAGTTGGTCTTGGTGTTGAAAAGTGCGGGTTTTGTAGGGAAGGAGGAGGTAAGGATGGGTGAAGGGTTGAATGGTTGGGTATCTATGGGAGGGGGTTTATGGAAGGAGTGAGGGAGAAATGTTGTGATAGGTAGTTGGTATTAGTATTAGTATAGGGGGAGGGGGTAAGCGAATATGAATATACTCGAGTAGATGTTTACTTTTATGTTATTCATACAACGTATCTATTCAAAATCAATCATCTCACTAATCCATCAATTTCAACAAAAGACAGAATTAATTGATACACCACACATATCAAACTTCAACCTACCAAAACACCAACACACCAACACCCAAATCACTCAAATCAAAACTCCCCCCAGCCACCATCTGACCGTATCCCTATTCCAATTCACACCTTCTCGCCCCTGGGATCCAAACACCTCAAAGCGTTCCCCACCAAATACAAACTGCCTGTTACCAAACACTCCATTGCATGATTTTGAAAACCGATTTTAGAAGCTAGTTGGATGGCGGAGACATAATCTGGTTCGAGCAGGATACTGGTGTTTGGGGAGAGTCGTTGCCAGGTCTGGGCGTAGGAGTGGAGGGTGAAGAGGGTGGAGGGGGTGGGTGGGGTGGGTGAAGAGAGTGGGAGGGATGGATTGGATGGGTTAGATGGGGTTATTGGGGCTGTGGATGTGGCTGTGAGGGGAGGGGGGTGTTAGTGGGGGTGTGAATGGAGGGGAGAATGGGGGAATAACATGGAGAGGGCGAGTGAATGGAAGGGGGTGAGAAAGGGAAATACTAACCATCATCCCAATCCGTCGTAAAAATCACATGTTTAACCTTACACCTATGTTTCAGCAGCGCCTTCACCAAACTCTGCACCACCATCTCTCCATCCCCACCCCCACCCCCTTTTTCGCGATGAGCAAAAACCACCACCTTTGGATTCCCCGGCTCTTCACGATTCAAAACCGTTTGTTTCAATCTCCTCATCGCATACGAGAAAGGAGAAAGCGTCGCTTCTTCACACACACTCATGGCGAACCATTCTGCTGCTCTCGGTGCCGTTTGCGCATGATGTGCACTATCCAGAAACCAGGTATTCTGACCCACTTCTAACTTTTGGAAACGGCCGGGCCAGAAATATCGATCGAGGCCGATGGAGATGTCTTCGGAGGAGAGTGGGGGATGTTTTTCGTTGGAGAGAGAGAGGGTGTGGAGGTATGTGTCTGTGAGGGTGAGGGCGAGGGAGCATAGGGATCTTTTGAGGTCGGTTTTGAGTGCGTGGGATATGGCTGGGAGGCGATAGTCTGGCGTTACGAAGTTTAACGCCATCCTTTTTTCGTGGGCGCGCGTTTCGAGTACTTTTTGTATCAAGGGGTCTTGTGGGATGGAATATGTAGGAGTATAGGTTTTCATGATGCCGGCTGCGTGCCATGCAAGATCTTCTACAGATAAACTACCGGTTTCGAGACCTTCGCTGTGAATCTGGGTGATACCTACCGCCACAGGTTTAACGAAATTTGTAGCGTCTGTTTCTCCTCCGGTATGAGTTTCCATGATAACCACATCGATATCTTCACTCATGAATACATAGATTGCAACTAGAAATCTTAATTGCATGTAATCCGGCATTGATGTCTCGGAAAATCTGCTCGACAGAATCTCCCATACTTGGAAGAAATATCTGGCGAATTTATCTTCGGATATTGGCTTGGAGTTTATCTTGATTGGCTCGCGGATGTTTGGAGAGTAGGGATTGGTGTATAGACCAATTCTTTTCAATACGCCTGTTCTGGATGCATAGGATGAGAGGAAGGATTTTACAAACATGAATGTGGATGCTTTGCCTTTGGTTCCTGAAATATGGATGATGTCGAATTCTTTGTGCTGCGGATATGATTAGAGAATATTTGAAATGGAAATGAGAGTACTTACTGTATACCCAAGAGCATCAAGCCATTCATTCATACCATAGTTGCCAGGCTTAGTTGGATTACCCACTGAAGTGCTCAACCTGTTATTTGTTGCCTCGTTTGCAGAGTCTTCTCCATCACTGGTACCGCATGTGGTTTTCTTGAGTAATTGAGAAGCTCTACTGCGCCTGGTCGTCTCAATACGATCTTTGCGACTTTCAAGTAGTGTGCTAGCGTTCTAATCGTTCATTAGTATATTTCGTAATGGATTCAAAGATATCATACTCTATACGATCGCTCCATTTTAGTCCTAGCTTTCAGCAACGACTTCAAGAAGATTATGAGAGTAGGGAAACAAGCAAATAGCCAAGATGCGGATTTGCTTGGAGGGAAATGAACATCTTATCCAAGTCATGACGTCGTTTTAGGTCTTGTTGGTATCGACATATCTCTCGCGGTTGTAAGAAGAGAAACACCAATCAGTGATCGTTATTATATTCATCTGACCGCTTTAGACCAGAAGGAATGATTATATGGTCTTTTCGATGGTGAGGCGAAGTGAGGTGCGAGCGAGGTCACGATAACATACCATTTTCAAGAGCGCAAGTAAATAGGCGCCAAGAGGAAGTAGGATTGTTGGTGAGTGATGCCAACCTGGCTGGGCCATCCTAGAGGTCTTTGTACGGTCAATAATCACGCAGTCAGAGCCTGGATTTTACTCCTTCAGGTAATGGCGAAGGCAATGACTATTGTAAAGCGGAAATCTTGCAAGAGAATGTTTCGTAAAAGGAGATGCGGTAACCTTAACCATTCGCAGGCTTCGGGATACGCGGGGTATCTGAAACTAAAAAGTTCATCACTATCAGCCCTATAAGAACCCGCTAGCATACCTAACATTAATCGTGAAGACCCCGAATTTTAGCGTATATATGATTAGTAGTGTATTAGTAAGCCGCGGGAATCATATCTCCGACCCGTGCGCAAACGCAGACTTCGACACTATTTCATCAACGTCACGTATCATCTGGAGCAACCGAACTCACACATTGTGGAAATTGGGCATCAGAGAACCTCATTCGCCAAATGGGGTCGAGCTCGCTATTTAGTGACACTCAACGACATCTAAGAGACTCTTTTTCCAGTCGTGGAGTGATAAGCTCGAGCACCAGCACGATACAACGATTCATCGACTCTCCATTCGATAAACCCTTCTAGATGGCTCGGCAGTCTATCAAAATCCATAGACTGCGTCCTATGCCAACATTGTGCATGTATTCGGTGTCGAATACCAACTCCACTACATGTTCTTCTCGACATTCAATCACCCTTTTGACAATTTGACTATCTTCCTGCCTCAAAGTCCTTGAAATTGGTAATTCATGCAGGAGGCTTTGGTTCCTATCTTTCCTTAACGCCTTCCTATCTATGGTCAAAAAGTAAGACTGCTTTTCTCACAGGAAACAGTAGAGGAAGAGAAACAACCTGGTATGCTGCTAGAATCACCACAAGAAGCCTAGTTTGAGTATTGCATGGTAGGTTGGAAATGCGAAGAATGATGCAAAGAACAGAGGGCAATTGTCACTCTTGAGGATAGGTTTGGAAGGCTGGTTTTATGTAATTGGTCATCTGTTCAGCTGACAATAATCCGCCCGCCAAGATTCTGGCACGAGAAATACGAAAGCTGAAGATCATTAGTAGGTACATGGCGCGCCTTGAATCTAATAATGTGTTCAGCTGGAGCATCCAGTCATTCTCTGGGGCTTCCGTTCCAGAGCAGTTCGTCGCAAATCTTTTCGGTCTTGAGAAGGTTCTATTGGAAACTCATCCTCGGTATTCCAACTTTTGTTCACGATCATAAGCCTGTTCTCTTCCAACATGATTCACAAGAACTGAAGATGAATTGGATGAGCTACTGCAGATTCGGTGAGTGCAACCCATCAACAACATAGGTTTTGTTACCAAAATATCAAGTGTTACTCCGCCATCCAACATGAATATGGTAATATGGGAAAGCGAAATACCATTCAATCCTACAATACAACCTTCTGTTACACGTTAACTGAGATTGTAGGACTAATTATCAAAACACGGCATATTGCACACGCATCGGAAGCACAAATGACGTTACATGTCATGGAGAAAAGAAGGTGTTCACAAGTCGCACGGAAACAAGGAACATTGAGGTATTTTCGACTTCAAACAAAAGAACATACTAGGTGTGGATGATTATCATTTATTAAGTACTAGTCGAGAAACAACTTTCTCCTCTTGTGATATACATCCGAAACGTTAAAGTGGTACAGAAGCTCTCCATACTATCTTTGACCCGCGAAATCGCCATAACGAACGATATCGGACAAATCCTGAACCATCAAAATGCAATATAAACCAAACAGACGCCACCAAGGAATACAAGGGTTATCTTGATATCCACAAGCCGTGTTCTTCCCAAGGTACTACCACCCAAGTAACACCAAACGCTATTCAAGATATCCGATCTAAGTTCGTTAAACATCTATCTTTTGCTTTTTGTTGGCCTCTTTAACCTCCTTTCCCCTCTTCTCGCGTAAATATCCACAATATAGATTCACCTGGCACTCTGCCAAAGAATGTGCTCTACGGGTTGCTAACTCTAAATCTTCGTACCCCTCCTCCAAACCAAATTTGACTCGTGCCTCGATAATTTTCTTCGTGCCAACCGTACGCGCCAAAGAATTGAAGTACTGTTGATCGGAGGTAAGATTCGTACCAACGTATTCCGCAGTCTTTGGGCATATGGTAGTGGGTATATTAATTGACAGTGTTAGATTTACTTCAACGTTTCTCTTTGTGATTGACCATACCACTCTGGCAGGTGTAGTCGATACCGTCTCACGAGCATCTGGACTTGGCAAAACTGTCGGGGTGAAATGACCATCCTTGATTTTCAACACGACGATCTTGGTAGGAGCCGGCTTTGGCGTCGCAGAAGCTTCAGGAGTCATCAATTGTAAAACTTCCGGGCTAGATGGAGAAGTAGATGTCGTGGCACGCTCAGACGTTCGAGCTTCCTGAATGCGGCTCACAACACTCTTACATATCTGTGCAGCGTTCTCACTAAAGTTCGGATAAGTATCTAGTTCCATCCTGACTTGGAACTCTAGAGCCTCGAGCGATTTACCAGTAGCGATGAGCTCTTCGTAGCGCTCTCCCGCCAGACGACGGATTCTCGCGGAACGTGCTAGCAGAAAATGTTAGTACTATGGATGCGAACGACTTCCCATTCTAGAAATTTGTTTACCAGACATTCTGAAAGGTAACACTGCTAGTTAGTAAATAATCAGTGGAGATAAACTGATATTGGTATAAAGGAATATGTGGTTGTCCTCGTGGTATTTGATCTGAATACAGTGGACTGAAAATGGAGGTGGTGGTTGCTTGGCTGGTATTGGTATCGATCTAAGCAGTCGCGACCGATCAAGACCAGATATATTTTGAATAGGCAAGTGCCAGAAAAAGAATCCTACAAGAACTTGGTATACCTTGTGATAATATGTCTGGTGGTTGTATGAACTCTCTTTATCCTTGATATTATTATGTTGTGAAAAAAAGATGGAGGAAAGAACTCGATCTCAAGAAGTTGAGTCGACGTGCTTTTATAAACCTCTCGCAGCCGTATTATTATCGTTGGTAAGATTACAATGACCGAAATTGGCCAATAGGCATAAGTGAATGGACCGTACTGGCGACTTGTTCATTATTCACTACCAATTCGTGGTTCGGTAGAATTGAATGGACTCGAGAGTATGCGAATTGGAGAAGTGTTTCAAGTGAAGTATTAACTTCCGAGTACAATAGAAAGGGAGATAAATTTTTTGATATCATACACAAGTTTTTCAAGGCGGAGCTACATGAGATGATTGTCTTGCAAGCTGGGTATTCTTGAATTATCTAATCACTTTTCAATCATGCTGGCGGCTCATGAGATAACCTGAAGAAAGTATTTCTATCCAATTTGCAGTCTCGCGGGCTTGAAGACAGTTCTTTCATGCTGAAAAGCTAATTAGACAACTATAATCAGATATCAACCGCTCGGTCTAGCCGATTCTTAAACCTTTAGCTCTGGGCAAATAAATTTGGCATGACTTTTAATTCGCATCCAACACTTCAAATTTCAATATAGTACTACACACACATAGCAAGAATATTCCAACTTAGCCATCTCCAAACATCCTAATCCATCGTTGAGGCAAAAGCTTGAGAAGCTCATCAGAAAGATCATGTTCAAGTTTCAATTCTAATCCAGAGAACTACACCGTAGTGTATGAGGTCGGGAAAATCTCAATTGTGCGAATATTTAAATATTGTCAAAAGGATGATGATGGACACTTTGATATTATGCTTGTATTACTATCCGATATCGAATATTGGATATATGAATAGCAGCCGGGGTGTAGTGTCTACATGGCTTTTAAGACTCTCCAATTTGAGAAACGACTTCACTTAAGTATGTATACTGTACGCCCATTACCTACCGAAGTTGACGCCATCTACGAGTAATAAAGGGATAGAGGGGTATTCTCAGATATCATCCGGTCATTCACACAAGGAATTGAGTGAACACGAAATCTTTTAAATAGTCAGCTATCAAGCATTATTTATTTTTATTATTTTCGTCCATCATTTCTAATATGCAGTTTGTGTGCGTTCGCCATTCTGATATCCTCGCGTAGATTTCCAGCAGGTCAACTATCTATAAACTAACCCAGAATGTGCTAGCCCGACCGTAGCTCAAGTTCCAAGATGTACATACCCGGTAGCATAATATTTTCGCTATCCCATCATTGCATCTATCTCGCAATCATATATCATCCGCTTTTCCCCAATACCACGTATCATCACCACCCACCTCAGACTCCTTTGCCGAAAATCCATTTCCTAAATACGCGAATCTATTATCCCCTTCCCTCCCCTCTTTCTCCCTACCACCACCCACCCTCCATTCAAAGTCCTCCCACCTAGGCTTCTCCAGCATATGAAAAAAATGCGCCTGACTCCCCGGATGTAATGCCAGCACCGGTCCCTCACTCTTCCCATTCCGATACCAACTGCGAACCCCTTCATTTGCCCAGACCGTCTTCGTCATGAATTTCGCAATGTGTTCTGTGTATTCTTTGACTGCTTGTGGCTGAGGTCGAAAGGAAGCGATGTTTTCTCGCTGGCACTTGTGGATGAATTTTAGGGCAAAGGCGCTTAGTTGTTCGGTGATGATGGGGATGGCGCCGTGGGCTAGGGGGCCGTTGGGTCCGAGGTATGCTGTTGCGGGGGGAGTGGGGTTAGGTTTCTGGGTTTGGGGGGTACTGTGGATGTGGAGGGGGACGTACTGATGTAATTCGGCATACCAGGAACCATACACGACATATACGCCTGACTAGGTTGATCCCTCCAAATATCCTGCAAATTACCAAACTCCCCAATAATCGGAAAGCGCGGTATGAACGAACAATTAAATCCCGTCGCGCAAATTATCGCATCGACTTTGACAAAGTCACCATTGGTAAGTTTGATACCATCAGATTGAACTTCTTCAATACCTGTTGTGACGACATCGACATTTGGTTGCGTGAGAGCTTTCAAATAACCGATACCTGGGGTAACGCGTCGACAGCCGACGGGGAAATTGGGTATTAGGGCTTCGAGAAGTTGTTTGTCGTGGTTGAGTGTATCGGCCATGTAGAGAGAGATGATACGTTTTGCTTCTAGGGCTTCTGGACTGCCGCGTAGGATCTGGTGTAGATGTTAGGCTATGATTCAGGGCAGTACTCGGTTGTAGGAATGGTACTTACTGTCTTGAATCTCTTGTTAGACAAAGCCTCAATAGCTTTCAGAAACTTCGTGTATTTCTCTGGATCCTCTCGAAATTTCTGGATTTGTCTCTCTGAAAACTTGTGTTTAGTATCAAGTTCATACTCTTCCATGATATGTGAAACTGCTTTGCTGTTGGGCGAAATCCAAGTCTTTGTCCTTACGAAATGGGAAAGCTTTGTGACTTCTAACATGATGGTCAGAATTTGTACTTCACGATATATCATGAATAATCATATTCAACTTACCTGGTTGTAAAACCGGGACAATCTGAACTCCAGACGCCCCATTCCCAATGACGGCAATTCTCTTATTCTTGACATCCAAATTCTTCTGCCACTTTGCAGAATGGACCAATTCTCCTTTGAAAGAGTGCAATCCCTTGATATCTGGCCACTTCCAGTCACTATAAGATATCAGCCACACATTCAGTTCATCGCAACATCCCAAACTTACTTAAACATGCCCCCAGAATTCAACAAAAAATGACATCGATCCTCAAAATCCACCCCCGTAACCTCATTCTTAATCCTCAAAACCCACTCTCCATTCGCCTCATCCCACTCAGCACGTATAATCTTATGAGACAGTTTAATACAATCCCTCAACCCATACTTATCGCACACACCCAATAAATACCTCTGTATCTCCGCAGCCGGCGCAAACAACGAGCTCCAACCCGGATTTGGTGTGTGGGAAAACTGATAGTTGTGAGAAGGATCATCGGATGCACATCCGGGGTAACAGTTCTCATACCATGTACCGCCCACCTCGGGGTTTTTGTCGTAGACTATGTGTTCGATATTGGTGCCTTGTCGTTTCAATGCTCGAGCCATGTTGATACCGCTGAATCCCGCTCCGATGCTAATGACCTTTACTGGCCGCATGGTTCCCAAAGGGTGTTTCTCTGTGACATGTGAGGAAGATTCCTGGTTAGGAGTCTCGGGTTGGAAATGGGATTGGGGAGGTTTGAGGTTGGGGATGGCATTGGTTGTCAGACTTCGTCGGAAATTTCCGAGAAGTGGTTGCTGGTTAGTCATGCCATAATTATGACGTTGGAGTGTGGTTGTTGCACATCGGAGCGATGGTGGGAATACATGGCATTTTCGTACGAGCATGGTAAATTTCGACATATTTGATGGTAATTCAAGAATTGCATACTCAAGTAGCTAGATGGCGACATAAAGCATGACTTGTATATAAGTACTTTTAATTTATAGACTGCCCAACAAGGTTTCACACGCGCTCTATGCGCTAATATCAAATTGGATACCATTAGAAATTACTTCACATTCAGAGCTTTGAGTGAATATTAAGTTAATCTGGCAGCTGATGCGAGCTTGAAATTAGAAGATTATAATTTGAACGTGTCTGCCTCACCCCTTTCACAGACTCGAATAAGTGAATACAGGGTTATGATAAGACACTTTAGATCCTTTGTCAAGAAGAGTTGTGCATGTAGTGAGCAATGCTTCGGGACAGCCCCAAAACGATGGATCCCAAATGCTTGGAAGAAACCCGTCAATGGGGAAAGACAAGTCTTAATACAACCATGGCAAAGTGGTGTAGAATGGGTAAATTGAAGGTGATCAACCAAGTTTAATCATTGTGTTCAGTGGGGAGTTCGAGACAGCATCGACCACAATGCGAACAATTCTTACAGTACACCACAAACCATCGAATGTGGGGGCCTGTCTTAGACGTAAGATCTTACGTTACCCAGCGCCTATTTTACCATGGGAAAATGTGATATCGAATCTAGAATCGACGTATTACACGATTGTTTGATCCTAGATTCCTAATGTGCTGTGATAGATTGACATCAGTGTGATCATGTGTACCAACTGCTCGGCTGTGCCACAACAACATCTTGGCAAGGGCCTCCTCCCTCAATTTACTTGAAGGGTTAATCTTCATCCTAACAATGGAGACCACTAGTTCTTATCCAAGATATGTTTGGGAGGCTGATAAGTAGCTAACAAGGTTGGGGCGCTGAGTCAAATCATTTATAATTTAAATATATGCAAGCGATTTGATAATTTAACCCAACCATTTCTGTGATTTGAGGATTCAAGCCTCGCAACTGTTCCTTATTCACTATCTCGACATAAATATCGAAGGAAAACTGAAGTAACATGCATTTATTAGAAGTGACTTCGAGAAAGGAGTTCAATCACCTAGATGCACGCAATACTGTTCTACAACAAATAATGGGTATCAAAGTTTTTGACCTTTTTGCGAGCCTTGTCGCGACAACTAGTCCACTGATTTCAGATACCGCGTTTCTCAATTCCTACAATTCACGTGGAAATAAACTTCCTAAAAGTTCGGATGTGGTTGTTGTTGGGGGTGGAATACACGCGTTGATATATGCTATTCATGCGAAAAGTTTGGAGCTGCAGGGAAATGGAAGTAAGTCCAATTCATCGTATGCGCATCACTAGACGTGCAGTATATTCAGTAGAGAGACTTTTGGGAGTGAGTCCTCTTGAAAAGCTTTCTACCGACTGAACAGAGACTCTCAATTACCGGAATCATCCATCGATCAATGCTTCTCCTGATAAAACACTTTCTGACCTTAATCGTAGAAGGAAGTACTACAAGCATGACTATTCTCGAGAAATCACCCAGTCCAACCTACAAGATCGGAGAATCAACATTAACCGTGTTTGGACTCTGGCTCAAGACGGTTGGCATTGATTCCCCAATGCTTTCGCGTCTTTTTGGACCAAAGGATGGCTTAGCATTCTTCTACTTTTCCCCCGAAGACAACCCAGAAAATTACACGCAGTTTGTTGCCAATGGACCTCCAGCAGACTTTGTACCAACTCTCCAAATTGAAAGGAAAATCAGCGAATTGATGCTTACACTCTATGCACAACGTTTGGGAATAAATGTTCTTCATGGAAAAGAAGTCATCATTGAGAAGAACGCCGGCAAAGACGAGGCTGATGGAGTATCCATTCAAGTACGAGACTCTGAGACCATGAGGGAGGAATCGGTGGAGGCTAGACTTGTGATTGATGCCACTGGTCGTTTCCATCGCTTTATCTCGAAAGAGGCACGTATAGAGCGTGTGGAGGGATTCAACACAAATGCGTATTGGGCGTACTTCGAATGTCCAGGCGATGAGTCTGAGATTCCTTTGAGACATTATGAGAGTGTCAATACGAATCATATATGTCTTCCTGAAGGGTATGTCTTAAACTCCCACATCAACAACGCGAGCTAATTGATCATATTTCAGATGGGCTTGGGTAATTAGACTTCCTTCGTGGGAGGGTAGCTCTATTCCTAACCTGACAGCCATGATCAACCACTTGCTAGACCTCAACGCTGCCAAAGCACCAGCAGATTCTTATCCTTCGGTCCGTGAACTGGTTGAAAGGTTCCAAGTCAAGTTTCGGTGGGTTGTCAGCATTGGTTTTGCTCTTCGCTCCGACGTTATTTACCCCGAAAATATTTCTAGCTACGGAAGTAGTGAAGCCGAACAGAAATTCAATTGGATCGTGTCCCGATACCAGAAAGTATCCGAACTGATGGAAAAGCACAAGGTTATTGAAAATCTGTATGGTCCAGGAACTACATGGTTTGTCCGCAAGAACCTTGCCTTTCGAGCGCCGCGCGTCACCGGAAAGAATTGGCTGGCTATTGGTGACGCGACAGGTTTCACCAACCCGCTGTATTCTCCAGGCATCAATGCAAGTATGAGCACCAGTATATATGCGGCCGAGATGACGAAGAAGTATCTTTCAACGAAGGATCAAACTGCCAAGAAGAATCTGTTCCAGAAATATGAAGAGTTTTGCAAAGATCGCGTCCCAAAGAATCAACGTATGAACGTCTTCAATTATGTCTGCATGCGTTCTCCCGAACTTGGACCACTTGGACCCATCTGGCAGTACTTGTGCGGAACAGGAAACGAGAAATTCCAGAATGCAAAGAAGTTAAATCTGGGAAATGTACATCAGCTCTTGACAACTTGGGACTGGGGTTCGAATCAAGAGGAATTTATCACTTTCAGCAAACTAGTCATCCTGATACTTGACGGATCACCGCATGCTAAGCTGTCCCAGGAAACCATCGATGAAGTCAAGAAACTTTCGGCAGAGCATTTGAAGTTGGCGATGGCTTCTGGTAAGTACAAGGGAAGATGGGCGGGATTATTGCGCTGGTATGATGATGATCTTAACTTTGTCGCGGACAAAGTAGATCGAGATGTGTTGGCTCGAAGGTGTTGGACATGTGGAGAGTGGAAGATGTTGAGACCTGATTGCAGGAAGTGTGTATACTGTGGCTGGGAGCATACCATCGAGGAGAGTACAAAAGTTTTGTATTGAAGTGGATGACTGCTGAATGGATCCGATGGAGAGATTGTACATAGAGTTGACGTGAAGGCAGGTCTAAGGTTTGAGAATCAGGTGACCGTTGGAGTGTTAATACCCAGAGTCAGAGCGACAATATAATTTGTCGATATTGCAATTATATGGCGTGACAGAATGACGTGACAGGCGTCTACGAACCATCTTCGTGGTGAATTGACAGTGACGGATGATTGATTTCCAATGATGACATTGAATCGTTCTGTCGTGCCAATGGTACTGTACTGCATTTATAAAATGTACTCGAGCGCGAACCGGAAAAAGGTGTCGAGGTTCGGATACACTGGTTCGTCGTTAGCTACCACGTTTACATCCAGCAAGCGAATTCAGGATGTACACTTCCACGTACTGTATGATGTCATCGTCATCCTGGATAAAATCAAAATCCACCGGCATGAATGATGTCAGGAGAAAATGAGATCTGACATTCTCGAGGTTGTCATGGAAGATATATATAGCTATAATTGGAGTATACTCAGTACCTATGAAATCAGCGGCCAATTCTTCAAGACCCTGCCTGTTATTCAAACCATTCCTCACTTTTTAAGATAAACATATTAAAGCATCTAGAGGAAAGTGCATCTCTCATTCCATTGGTTGCAATTGTGAAGCAAAACATTCGTTGAGACAGGGAAGGAACCCCTTCATAAATGTCTCGTGACCTAATCAGTTTTTGTTGCACGTCTATTCAGTTTGAAATTACAGGTATCGACCGGTATTCAATTTTAGACAATCTCTATCTTCATGATTTTGAGATCGGTTAGCCATGAAGATAGGTTAAATTGGATTTCGGTATTTATTGATCATGGTGTCTGGTAGATTATTGCTGAATTGGTACTGTTTTGTATTTTTAATTCGTACAATATTATACATTCCTGTAAGCAGAGTTGGATATCTATACACATCACATCTAAACCCTCCATGTCCCATCATCTAATACCCATCTTTAGGAACATCCTTCTTATTCTTACAAACGCCATTAAAATCACTATATTTCTCTGACCCCCTCTTAACAATCTCGACAAACTGATCAAACTCACAGCTCGCACCGGGTCCTCCTTGACACTCTGGAATTGGTCTTGGTGCCGTATTTGCCACGATTCTCACGAATTCCTGCACGTCGCTTACATCGCTAGAGTCTCCTTTCAATCCTTTACATGTAAGCTTCTCAATACCGACATGGCCCAAAAATGGTATAAGTTCGGACATTCTCCATGATCGAGACCAGTTGATACGATCGGTTGGGAACTCTTCGGCAAATGCATTAGATGAATTGAAGAGACCGAGAGCGGTCGCTATGAAAGGAGGGACTTCGCGATGAGTAAAGGATAAGAAAAATCTTTGACCGTCATCGTCAGGAATTTCATGGTCCGAGGAGTCGGAATGTTGAGGGGCGTGGAATTTAGAAAATAATTGCGCCGTGGTGTTTAACCATGGGAATCCAAGATAAGGCGAAAGAGGATTACCATGGCCCACCATACGTGAATATTTCATATCCCATGCATATTCATAAGCCATCCATTCATCATCGGTGAAAACGCCACAGATTTTAGACACTTTTCCGTTGATGGCAGATTCATATCCACACATCTGTTGTAGACCCATTATATCGTAATTCCCGAGTTCAACTGGTGAGTATTGCTGGAGTCTTGCAATGACCGGTGGCGCATATTTTGCGAGAAAGGTTTGTTGTTCCTCGTTTCCAGGAATTTTGGTGAATGCATCGCAAGCTTTATGGGGGACTTGAGCATGAAAAGATGATCGATTTGTTCCAATTTCGACAATCTCGACCTTTTGCGGAAACACCTTGCTAAATGCCTTGGCCGTATCTTGTGTTCTTGATTTCTTGTCCGCGTAGATTCGTTTCGTTGTAGGGACTAATTCAGGATATCTCGACAGTAGATGTTTGCCAACTTTCTTCGAGTCTTTGATTCCTTGAGGGGTAATCTGTTCCATTTGATTTTCTGGATCATCAATGGGACTCTGCCATTTTTCGAAGAATGCGAGGGGACCCTTCCATCCATGTCTCTTCTTTCCTGATGTTGCCGTATATGTGCTTTCTAGTTTCTTCAAGAAGGGTTCGATGTAGATTTCGTAGTCGTCGTCGTTTGCATAGATTGCTGCATGTCTGAGAAGATATGAAGCAGCTGTAACTTCACAGAGACGAGGTGCTTCGTGATTAAGACCTGCGCCAACTGCATCAAAATATGGACTTATACCGGGTAAGTGAAGGAGGGGGTCGAATTTGTAGTCCTGAGAGTGAGAGTTTGCGGAATAATCCTGGGATATGCGAAGTGGAATTTGAGATGATGAAACGAATGGAATGGCTACAAAAGCCATGGCCCATCCATATTGAAGCATGATCAAACGAGGATTGATGGGAGGATATACGAAGATATTGATACCTTTAGAATTTTTTATTTTTTCTTGAGATTTGCAAAGAACATTCTTATGGATGTTGGGAATTCTAACATGACATCATTGATTGGTTCGGTTCCTTGTCCGCCGTCCAAGGTCCTTAGTGGCTCGGCATCGGGAAGGTTAAATACTTCGGTTAAGTACTTCCATTCCACCAAAAATAATGAGAAGTCAAGTATCTAACACAAGATATCAAAGGTACTGACCTTATATATCACACCAACCTCGAGGATCGGAGATTCTTATATTTCTCACCAGTTAGTCTCAGGAAAGGGGCCAACCGATATTTGATCAATGTACGAGTACTTTACTCACAAAGAAATTTTGTTTGTTGTGGTTTTGATCTGGAAATACCATAAAGTTCTTAAGCTTGTTAGCAAGAAACGTGATTATTTAACTCCGGATCCAAGACAACATCATTATTTATCAAAACAGATCCCAGCAGAATAAAACGCATTATAAGACAAGCACTATCCCAACTCCTGATATGAAAAGTATTCCTACAGTACCCATGTAATATCATACGATGTTTTCTCCATTCGTTGAACCGGCGCGCCTGGTTCCATATTTGAGGTAAAACTCCTCGTGAGTTTCCATGGGCCCTGTAACAAAGTCCAACAAAACCGGCAGTTCTGTGTCAACTGTGCGTTTGATTATGTTCAGCTTCGTGTTCATTTCAGCAAGTTTTCGGTGTGCGGCTTCTACTCTAGTCCCCTGCTTTAGCGTATAATTCTTCCTCTTTTCAAAGGAATAGATGTTCTTGATAACCGCGTCCATAGCTTTGTTATTGTTGGTCCATCGATAGTAGGCGATGAGAGAAAGGGCAAATGAGTGGTAGATGCTAATGCAAACAATCTTGGCTAGCTTAGCTAACTTCACCCTTCCGAATGCAGAGGCAAGGAATATCAGTGTCGCGACGATTGAGACAGGAACTTATGGCTGTTAGTCAATCTCAGGTACATCAAGGGGGAGCTGCACAAGAGGAACATACACATATATTCGAACTGTTCCCTAATACCCATAACGGCGTTATCGGATCCAGTAAACTCTTTCGCATTCATACCAAAAACGCTACTTACAAAGGTCATTAGAAGAAATATGATGCTAATAACGGTGAAAGCCATAATAGAGCGTCCCTGGCTCACGCTCTCATCGGCTCGATCTAGTGCCGCCGTTGCTTCGATGATGCTCGCCTGCTGCTGCTTGAGAGTAAGCAGATCACGTAACTGGTCTGCTATCTCACGAGCACTAGCTTCAAGCTGGTGTAATTCTGTGTGATGGTTCGAGACGGTGTCGGTGAGGTCCAATGAACGTTCAATCGTGGATTGATCAATTCTTATGACCTTTGCAGCAGACATTGTGCTGTTCATGATTTGGCCATTCCGAGTGGATGAATTCTTCTGAAACTCCAGTAAAATTTGACATAAAACATCAGCTATTTCCTGCATTGGCTCGGATCGTCCGTTCATACTTTCCAGAGATTTTGAAAAATCATTCGCAACTTGTAACCTAGATGGTGTCATATCTAGTCAGATTCTGAGAGATGCCAATAAATGCAGCATTTTGTGTAGCAGTGAGAGATGGAACTAGTTGTGACAGGAAGATACATAGTGGACACTTACTGATGGGCATAGATGCGTGCCATCATTCCCGGTTCTTCGACAATATCATGTGCCTCTTTAAGTAGGACCCCCTCGGGGTTAATATTGAGATAGACTCGTGATAGTTCTGGGTCTATTTGAACACCTCGGCGGCTCAGTTTTTCCAAATGACTCCAAAAGGTCTCATATGCGATGGTCTTCATCTCAGACTGTTACTAGTCATCGACCATAGAAATAGAATTAGTTTCGTCCAAAGTTGCATACAATATTATCAATTGCATCGGCAAAGATGTCTAGAACCTCGGGTCGTTCATCAGTAGGTTTTGTGCGATCATAAAATACTCTCGAGCATTCATTCATGATCAAAAGAGCTAGATCGTGAACTGATTTGATTTTTATCTGTCGGATGTGTTCAGCCGAAAGCGAATACATTGATGAACACCAGAAGAGTCCGGTTTGTTACGACCCATTCTTCGAGGAAAGCTAGTAATGATCGTATCTACACATTTTTCAATTAGAGAAACCAGGCAATTATGCGGATTGAGGAACTGACTATCATCAAGTATGTACAACCACAGTTGGTCTACCATGACCACGCGGGTGGTTCCGTGGATTTCCCTGGCTGCTTTCGTACCTCGATAAACCACTTGATCTTCGTCCCTTGAGTCTGTATCCTCAAGTTTAAAATAGTAAGACTGGTCGAGTGTGCGTCGGGGATGAAAAGGCGGCTCGCCATTGAGATGACCCCGCACTAGTATCATATCCGGTTCGAGTTCCATTGCTTCATAGACTCTAGCAGCCTGGAGTAAGAAAGGCCCACAAGCTTGTGGTTTTGGCGACGTATTTTCCGAATTCCTATCAGAGCTTGGGTCTGCATCGTTTGTCTCGTGGATCTTCTGCAAAAGACCAAATCCCTTTTTATTTTTCGGTTTGCTTTTCGATGGCTTCTTGTTTCCATTTGATTCCGAGTTCCATCAATTTCTGGATCATGTCCCGATTTCTTTCCACAGACACAAATATCTCTCGCAACTCGGCAATCCGAGATAGTTCTTGACTTATCTTCTCCTGCTGGTCATGATTGAGAGACTGAAAGAAGAGATCCCGTTTGTCATATCGATATAGTCTTTCTCGTCTAAGAGCTTCTTAGGTCGTTCTTCAGAGTAGCGGTGTCATTTGCACCGTTATGATTTGTTGGATGTTGGTCAGCCATGGGAAATTAGATGTTTTCTTGGAAGCAAAATGTTCCGGCCAGACACGAATGAGACAGCCGGGACATAAAGCTTCCAGCTTGTAGAACCTTATCAATAGTATACCTCCCCCAAGGGCAAGAACAGAAGCATAGCGCGACCTGCGGCTGGAATACCAAAATAGTTTCAAAAACCAACAAGAACATTCGATTTCAAATCAATCAACCAATGAGCACTTAGCTAATGAATATACCAATAAGACATTTTCCATGTTTAATTGAAGGATCTGATCAATGGGCGAATCAGTTAAAACCCATCTGGGGGCTGTCCGCAAGCGAATAAAAAGGCATGCACACCATAGGATCAGGTGGTTACGATGTGTAATATCTCCTCCTCCTTCACGTCACCGAACGATTGATTCCCAGTGTTGCATAAGTAGTGCTCTCATAGCTTGAACACAATAGATATGCATGCTCATATCCTAAATATGGAAATCTTATGGATGAGGCTAAGAATTGAGCTGGACAACTTGTCCTACGACTTTGATTGCCGGCGGCCGCTGATGAAAAGAGTGAAACGATTTCGGACCCCAAAATAGACTATCATGGACGTGTATTGCATACGCCAAGGCAAAAAAGCTCGAAAAATATCCCGGGGACGTTGTTCCTGCGAGGTAGCCGCAACACGAGGTTACAAGAGCAAGTATCCGAAGTGCACTGCGCCGACAATTGGACGTCAAAACCGATGTATAATGCTTCTTCCCGGGTTCTTTCGCTAGCGGGGAGAACTGCACTTACTTCATCTTGGGACGTTGTCTGCAGACCAAACTGCATCCTCGTTATGCCCTCCAATTATTTTCTCTATCCAATCATTCACTTTCGTTGCCATCATTTCACTGTGATCTACGCCATATTCAATCAGCATAGTTCGCCTCCACCGTCACAACTCAACATCTCAAAGCAGGATTAAATACTCACTGATACAAAACCCATGGTCAATTCCCTCCTTATCAATCATCATGATTGGCTTATTTGATGCATTGATAGAAACCAAAGAGGTGGAGGAGGCTGGCGTTGACTGGGACGAAGCTCGTGCAGCAATTAGTGCATCGCGAGTATGAGATGCTACCCAGTGATCCTGTTTCTCTCAGTATATATTCATAGGTGCCTTTTGGATATGACTGTGACTTAGACTTACATTTTCTCCAAAATAAAATAATAGCTTAGGCGGAGAAATGCTGGATGGAGACAATTCAGAATGCTCAACACCCCATATCTCCGAATCCCATTTATCTTCCGTTATAGTACTCATTTCATCACGTGCGAGGTATCTATACTACTCATCAGTAATGTCAGAATCCAAGGAAATATGAGCATACAAAGCCTGCCAAATACCATTCTTACTTCTCAAAAAGCTTGTGGTAACTTTAGCTGCCTCCTCAGGCATTCCCGTGACCTTCCTCACGAGAAAATCTAGAACAATGTTCGGAGCACAAAATAGAAGCATCTTTGCGGTAGAAGACGCCAGAGCCGGGAAGTTGGGAACTGACATTAACGGTGTAAGTTTAGTGCCCGAAGGAGAATGGGAGATATGCGTCACTGTCGGGAAAAGAAGGATGCCAGACAGTATTGCAGACAGTGACGGGACGGTGGATGGCGTGATAAGTTTGGAAAGCGTCTCTAGAAGAATGTATGAACCCACCTAGATGATTAGGGCAGTTATTGATAGGGTCCGGGGAACTCACTGAGTGCCCAATCAAGATCACGTTTTTATATGGTGTGGATGACGAGCCATTCATCTTCTCTAAAAGACAGGCATGAACAAGATCTATCTGTTGTTCTAATGAGTATGGAACTAAATTGAAAGAATCCGATGGAACATCATCCGTCTCAAAACCAGCTAAGGATTGGCCAAAGATGTGGTAGGTATTCGAATCTTGGGTGGATGAGGAAGAGAGGAGATTGTTGAGGGTAGAAAGGAAGGAAGAGCTGCAGAGGGTCAATGTAAGACCACAACACCAGAAAAATATAGTTACTAGTAGCCTATCAATCCTGGATTACCTGTGATGAAGAATATGAGATGGTATGTGGTATTGGGAGAGTCTGAAATGGGGTGGTATGAAATTTGCTGAGGCATCGTGTTTGAGCTTCCTTCTGAGACCCAAGAACTAAATCTATGCTCTAAGAGTAATCCAACGACTATTAATGCCCTAAAGATCCAAAATAAAAAGGAAAAAGAGAGAATCTAGTTCTGAGTGTCTCTGATTGTGTACTACAAGGAAGGGAGTGATGTCGAGATAGGAAATATTGAGGTTTGAGCCTCGGATTACGGTGGCCGATCCGGCACCGTTTCACATTCTTGCCCAGCAAACTGACACTAAAGTAAAATCGATATCAAACAAGCCATCATTTATTTTGTTTTAGTACTCTGATGAATTGAGTCCAACACAAGTTAATGATCGATATAAGCAAAAGAAGTTTAACTAAGTTCCTGTGTGAGCGAATTCCTATGATGAAGAATCATCACGCAGATACAAACGAAATGATACTAGAGGAAATTGATTACACTAAAGGAACACCCTTCGTGTTCTGCCCTGATCCGCGAGCTTTCCTAATATTCCATTTCATATTCTCAGTCCGCCCTGCCCATCCGTTTCCATGATGCCAAATTCTATCCCTACAACCCATATACTCCATGCCCGACCAATCCCTATATTACCACCCGTTCTCCCCATGCCAAACCTCACTCTCACGCAGCGATTGCGAAACAGTATAAAGTCAAACCCCATTCCTAACCCCCACCTGCGGCATCTCCCCTTCTTCCTTTTTCACCACCATTCTTTTCCCATCCTGCAATCTAATTTCTCCTGACCCCTTAGTGACAGGTACAAACCCATAGAGCCATCGGGCTACAATCCACGAGCTAACAGCCCACACCCATATAATGATACCAAGCCCACATGTAACGAAGAGGGTTGGCACGAGTAAGAGAGTAGCGATTCCAATCCAGAAGAAGGAGAATAGAATGGCGGATATGAAGGAAAAGGCGAGGACGGAGAGGGTGAAGGTTGTGAAAAGAAGGAGAGGTGGGAGAGATATGGTGAGGGTAGCGAGGAGGAATGTCTGTGGATGAGATGGTCAGTGATGAGTAAGAAGATTAGGTGGGTTAGATTGGGATATGGTATTTGTATGACCATGAGGTGTAGATAAGAGTAATTATATGTAAACGAATGAAGACTCTAGAAAGAGTGGATTCATCTGCAGAAAACACGGAGTTGACCACAAGTAGTATCTGATGCGATAGAACCCCGGTAGTGATACTAAGATACGTACAGCAATAAGTGGTTGTTCCTGAAAGAACTCGGAGACATTCCCATAGAACTGTGATCTCCGTTCAGGACTCACGACGTGATCAATCATCCTCTGAACGCGTGATATTGTACCGGATACGACCATATTTGTGGATTTACGTGTTAATCAATTGTCAGGCTTATGTAGAATTCTTTGGAGTTTGTTGCAAGTACCAGATGTAAAAGAGCATTGAAGTATTGAGATGGAAGCAAGCTTGCTGGTTGGTGCTAGAACATGGCTCAAAGTAGGAATGAACGATGACGTAATCGTGATGACATAATCATGACGACCGTACAACGTTGGAACTTTTACTACTTCAACCACCCCTATTAGCAATATCTCATATCTCACACTTCCAGTTAATTTCATATCGAAGTAGTACCTCGAAACTTGTACTCGAGTATACTGCTAAACTTTAGGAGATGTCATCTCAATTTTGCACTTCTACTTATATCCTGATCCCCTATCTTCACAACGACCATGTCATTCCTTCTCTTACCACACCTCAAAGTCCAGGTATACTGAGCCCGAACACCACGAGTATATTCATACTTATCAGGATAATGATGACTTTTTCATCCGGCCAGTCGTGCAGGATATTGCATAGGTAGTAGAATTTCGCTCCTACAATGCAATACCAGTATTAGTATACCGGTATAAGTCTGATCTTGTGTAACCGGGCTAGACTGCACTTCTAACAAATCTAAATCATATTAGATGAATCTTATACTCATCTTTGTCCTCATGCTATCCTTAGCCTTCAGTCTTCAACACCCCGTGTACGGAATACCTTCCATTTCTACGGAATTGGAGTACAGAACTCATACACTTGGTGTTAAAAACATACCTTTAACAACCTGCGGTTAAAATAAATCATGCACAATAACCTCCATACCCTCAATTACCAACACAAGCGCCAGCGTCTGCGGTAAATCCTGCAGTTTCAATATTCCCGCCAGCTGGGGAAAAGTCTCCTTGACAGCAACACATTGATTACCAAACCCCCCACCAAAATCAACAAATACCACCTTCTTCACTGCATGCTCATCTCCAACCCCGTCCCCATCCCCATCCAAACCCCCCCCCCCCTCCCTCTAGACCACCATAAGCCTCTAAAAATACCCAAACCTCCCTTTCTGCAGCAGAAACCAGCTGAAAGAAAGCCGGTCGATCCGTCTGAAACACTCATTGGAGTGCTGTTCTACAATTATCGTTTATACGAATTAGCACATTCTGTCTCGGCTAGGAAATCCGGGAGATGTTGGAGGATGGAGCTTGTTATGTCGAAACTGGGGATTTGTGAGTGAGGGGTGGGAGTGGGGAGGGAAGAAAAGGATAGATGGGAAAAACAAAAGGCAAATCTCACAAACGATGAATCCAATCCCACCCTAATAATGTAATAATTTTACATCCGCGAGCACAGCTGTCATTCTGTCATCCTATCATCCTGCTAGAACTAAAGTGATCCTTGCGCGTTTTGCGAATTTGTCCTACGGAGGTCGGGTAGCGGAGTATGTGACCTGATATTATGTTTAATTAGTGCTTAGTTCCAGGACCTCAATCATATCATATCATATCATATCATAATATCCCCTGATTTCTCTTTCACTAGTCACCCATCCAGAAGCTCCTCCGCCGCCCTCATCTCCCTACTCAATTCCCGCACACTAAACTCCTCTTCCGAATCTTTCTCCTATTCCTTCTCTTTCCTTTCATTCAGCACCTCAAAATTCCCCAAATCAATCGCGATACAGATGGAAATTGTGATGGAGATGGAGAAATAGATGGAGATGGGGATGAAGCAAATTCTAGGAAAGTGGTAGTGGGCAATATAGTAGATATTATTCGAGTACAAGCATAATGGACAATGGAATTTTGTGGCACAGATATGATGGCTTTGACCGTTATACTGTATAATGTAACCTTACCACGAAATTCTACATGCTATTAGTTCTGATCAACAAGTGCTGATCGACTAATGTACAACATATCTCAGCTTTGTTTGTAAAAGCATCCCTCTCCATAAGTAACCAAACAATTAGCGCGAGCCATACCTCTTGAAATATCCAGTGATGTGGGTCCAATTATGTACAATTATGTTTGGTAAGTTGTAACCCAGTAGACTCTATGCACCAAAAAGCAGAAAACAGATGAGATGAAGAGACAGCTCGAACCCCCCCCCAACCCCCAAAAAAGACCCCACAACTCCCTCCCAAGAAAAATAAACTATTAAAAACATAACCACTAACCAGAACATTTGATGAAAATTGAACCAGCAGATACAGGAAAAAGCAAATGCAGAAACATCCTCACAACGCGAGAACCAATTTAGTAAACATGGAATGAACATAGACGAATGTTAGATGTATCTGCCTTATCTTGAGTATCCGTAGCTCCGAGACGCAGTTGACCTGCCATAGCCGGAATAGCCATATCGAGCTTGCCCATAGCTGGAGGATTTAGTGACCTTATTTTTAGAGGACGTTTTTGTGGATGTCGCTTTGCTTCAAGGAGCTTTGTAATTGTCTCCTGCCTTCTCAAGCTTCTTTCTCGCCAAATCCCTAACATATCGTTCTTTCTCGTATTTGGCTTTGTTGACAATGACCTTTCTCTCCTCGAGAGGCATCTTGGACCATGCTGCTTGCAGAGATGTAGGGGTAGCTTTGGGGTTTTTGAAAGGATCCTGGTGCAGTCCTATATCGATGATCCAATAGTCACGTTTTTTGGCATAGCCCGCGGGGTAATTCTTGAACTCCTTTTCCTTTTCATTAGTAAATACATACATCCCTTCGAGCTCTGACCATGATTCAAGGACTGGGTTGTTGTCTTCCTTGATAGTAATGGCTGTCTCAAGAACTTTGTTACGTTCAACCTCGCTTATTGCACTCCAGGCAACCTCCATCCCCTGCATATTGCCCTCGGGGAGTTCCAAGGTTTTGTAGCAGAACGGGGGAATATTAAGGCCCAGCTGTTGAAGCCACTCGGAGCGTTTATCGCAATATGTTTTGTGTAAGGTGAAGGCACTCGCCGGGTATATTTCATAGGTTTTCTCCAAAGTCTCCAATGAAGGATTGGGCGGGTCAAGCATAGCATTGATATACTTTGCTTTTGCTTCGATTGCTCTTCGCTCTACGCGTGATTTCTCATCATAGAGTTTGTTTATTGCCTGTTGGTCCAATGGAGTCTGCGGGAGAGCCTGATATCGGGGGTCGTCCAAACCCAATTCAATGAGCCAAACCAATCGTTTCGCCATAAGATCTTGATAGCTCAATATCTTTCTCTGGGGAATATTGAAGTGCGTTTGCTCTAATTTGCAGAATGGTAGAGGCACTGGACCAATAAGTTTGATTGGTACAGGGTCTCGCAGAGCGAGAGGAGCTAATCGTAGCGGTACGTCAGCCAAGCGGCGGGAGGGATACTTCAATCGAATGGCTTTCTGCTCAATCTCTCGACGGATTTTGGCAGGTTTCAAAGCCCAAAGGATTTCGACCTTGTCTCTCTGGATTGGATCAACGTTTAAAGAACTGAATGGCATGACATCAATACCCAACTTTGCCAACCATGGTCTGCGTAGAAGTCTTTCATTTTCATTCTGGGGATTTTGGGTAGTTGTAGAATACATTTCCTCCATCTGATAAAATGATAGATACTCTACGTTGAGCGAGGGACTTTGCGCTTGTCTGGTAGGCTTAGTTTTGACGTTCATCGATGATGATGAGACTGGAGTCAGTGATTGAGGTGCCGCTCGAGATGGGGTAAGCTGAGGCAAGGAAGAACTGAAAGAATTGTCTGAAGTACTGCTCTCCGATTTGATACCAACTTTAGTATCGCCCAATCTATGGATCTGAGTATGAGGCTGTTGACATCGGGTTGTTTGATAGAGTTGCTAATGGCTGACGCGAGGTGGGAGTTGTGAGCGCATAGGAACCCTGCGGCATCGAACGGTGTCCTTGATAAGAGCTTGAAGATGGTGGCGTCCAGCTATTGGTCTGAGTCGGGGGAGGCATATGGTATTGACTATATGCACCGGGCTGAAAATTTGGCTGGGATTGAGTAAAGGAAGATTGAGACATCGGCAAGTCGTAATCGGTATCAAGATCTATATTGTCGTCATCGCTGAAATCATCCTCATTGAATTGCACAGCATCGAAGCTGTTATTTGGAGTGGTTGTGAAGGGTAAGGTGCATTCTGTTGTGGATTGTGGTTCTGCGATGAGGAGTAGCTTTTTTCCTGACTAAGCATCATATGACCTGCGGTCGTGAGGGTGAAGCCGGATATGTCTTTGAGAGTATCCATAGCATGATGCAAAGCTTTGGGATTTGCGGTACCAATGGCATTTTGTGTTTGGGACAGAGGGCTAAGAACATGTTATCTGGGCAATTCTAACTAAAAGAGGACGATGAAAGTGGTTTTTGCACAGATAATTTCTTCACATTGCGTACTGAGAAGAAGGGAGGCTATAAGGTGTGTTGTAAAAGTCTGGATTTGGATTATATTGGTAATACTCACGCGAAAGAAGCCATCTTCAGCTTGACTTTGGAATTGATCTCCTCCTTCCTCAATGGAATTGATTCGAGCATCTGATTCTGTCAAACGTTGCACCAAGACAGCTTTCAAGCCATTAATCGGAAGTTAGCGAGCCTTGAGAAGCTCCTTCAATTCTGGCACTCGATATTTTGCGTAATCAACCATCACGTCGTCGTCACAATATGTGACTGGTAATACCATGAGCTTTGGTGGTTTCGTTCGAAATATGATGCCTTGTGGTCGAATATTTACTTACTCAGGTCTTGAATATGATATTGTGGGTGGGGTATATGATAAACAACACAAAATAAATATCCGTGCGCTTATTTTGATTACCTAATAAAAATATAATTATCATAATAACGTGG